CGGATGCTTCTCCACGGAACCTGGGTCCAATTCCCAACACCCACATGGCAGCTAGCAACTGCCCTCTTCTGGCCTCTGCAGGCACTGCATGCATGTATTATACTTTCAGGCAAAGACTCAAACATATAAACAATAAAATCTTAAAAAGAGAGAGAATAATTTCTATACGTTTTGTGCACTGTATGATGTATTGTGGAATGGTCAAATCTTTACCACTGGTCATATGCATTACCTCATGTACTTACCCTTTTTTGATGATAAGTACACAGCATTTAGTCTTTTGGAAAGATTAGAAGATACAGTGGGTAATTATGTACAGTAACACAGGTAAGAAGAATTAATTGGTCATCATGATGAACAATAGAGCTCTTGAATGTATTGTCAAAAGTAATGTATCGTTCACCAACTTCTCCTCAAACCACCACCTAACAGTCTCTGGTCCCATGGGTTTCTGTGGTTTTCTGATGTTATTACACTCTGCACATATGAGAGATCATTCAATGTCTGACTCTGTGCCTGTACTATTTCATACTCAAAATAATGCCTCCATGCTACAGGTGAAAGGGCTTTCTCCTTTTTAAAGGCTGAATGGTATTCTACTCAGAATGCATACCGTATTTTCTTTATCTTGTTCACCTGTTGATAATCTCCACTTGTGAACTGCAGCTATCTTTTTGACATACTGATATTTTCTTTGGATATATATCCAGTAGTGAGACTTCTGGATTATATGATATTTTTAATTTTTAGAGGTACCTCCAGATTATGTTCTATAATGTTTAGATTAATTTACATTTCCATCAATAGTGTGGAAGGGTTTTTCTTTTTCTACAACCTCACCAGCATCTGTTATTTTTGTCTTTTTGATGGCAGCCATTGTAATTGGAGTGAGGCAATACCGCTTGTAGATTTTTAAAGTTAATTTATGCATGTATATTGTGTGCACACGTGCATTCACACATGTATATGCACACATGCTTACTATGGAGATCAGAGGAAAACTTAGGGAGTTGGTCTTGTCCTTCCACCATGAGTTTAGGGATCAAACTTGGATTGTCAGGCTTGCACAGCAGGTGATTCTACCTGTGGTGGCACCTCCCTGGCCTCTGCCTCAATGACCTCCCACTCACTGGCCTCCCCCTCCCTGGCCTCCCCCTCAATGGCCTCCCTCTTCCTGGCCTCCTCCTCCCTGGCCTCTGCCTCACTGGCCTCTGCCTCACTGGCCTCCTCCTCCCTGGCCTCTTCCTCCCTGGCCTCCCCCTCAATGGCCTCCCTCTTCCTGGCCTCCTCCTCACTGGCCTCCCCCTCCCTGGCCTCCTCCTTACTGGCCTCCTCCTCCTGGCCTCCCCCTCCCTGGCCTCCCTCTTCCTGGCCTCCACCTCACTGGCCTCCCCCTCCCTGGCCTCCTCTTCCCTGGCCTCCCCCTCACTGGCGTCCCCCTTCCTGGCCTCCTCCTCAGTGGCCTCCCCCTTACTGGTCTCCGCCTCCCTGGCCTCCCCCTCCCTGGCCTCCCCCTTCCTGGCCTCCTCTTCACTGGCCTCCCCCTTACTGGCCTCCTCCTCACTGGCCTCCCCCTCCCTGGCCTCTGCCTCCCTGGCCTCCCCCTCCCTGGCCTCCTCCTCAGTGGCCTCCCTCTTCCTGGCCTCCTCCTCCCTGGCCTCCTCCTCAGTGGCCTCCCCTTACTGGCCTCCCCCTCACTGGTGTCCCCCTTCCTGGCCTCCTCCTCAGTGGCTTCCCCCTTACTGGTCTCCGCCTCCCTGGCCTCCCCCTCCCTGGCCTCCCCCTTCCTGGCCTCCTCTTCACTGGCCTCCACCTTCCTGGCCTCCCCATCCCTGGCCTCTTCCTCCCTGGCCTCCACCTTCCTGGCCTCCGCCTCACTGGCCTCCATCTGATGGTTAGTGGTCCCGAACATTTTTCAAGTGTCTGCAGACTCCTTGCAATACTTGTGAGAGTATCTATCTGAGTCCTTTGCTCATTTTTGAGCACTTTTTGTTGTGGAATTGTTTTAGTCTATCATCCTTGGGGTGACAGATCATTGGGAGATACAGCTTGAGTGTCTTCTTCTATCTGCCTGGGTCTTCATCCTGCTGGTTTGTTTGCTGTGCAGAAGCATCTTCCTTTTGTATAGCCCTGCTTTCTATTTTCACTGTTGTTGTTATATTTTAGGGTCACAGCCAAAAATTCATCACCAGACAATTTTCTAGAGGTTTTCCTTTGTTTCTTCTAGTAGCTTTGTAATTTCAAGTCTTATGTTTCAAATCTTAAGTTTGTTTTTAATTGGTTGTTGTATAAACACACAAAAAAGGGTTCCTTTCCATTGTTCTGAAGGCTCAGATCTAGTTTTCTTAGCACAATTTATTAAAGAAACTGTCCTTTCCCCATTTTGTGTTCTTAGAATCCTTGTTCAAAATCACCTGGTCGGGGACTGGGGAGCTGTCTCAGTGGTTAAGAGGGTCGCTCTTCCAGAGGACCTCGGTTCAATTCCTAGCACACACGTGGCAGCTCACGATAACCTGTAACTCTAATCTAAGGGTGTTAAATATCATCTTCTGGACTTTGAGGGCAAGAGGCACATAAGTGGTGCACAGACACATGATGACAAAATACCCATACACATAAAATAAATGAACAAAAGAAAATAAATATTTTAAAAAATCAATTGGTGGTAAATATGTGGGTTTATTCCTGGACTAACAATTCTGTGGTTATTCTGTTCCATTGGCCGATGTATGTATCTTATGTACCATACTGTTTGATTACTAAGGCTTTGCAGTATAGCAGGAAGTGTGACTGCTCCAGCTTTGTTCTTTTTTGCTTTAGGTTTGACCAGGCTGGAGAGATGGCTCAGTGGTTAAGAGCACTGGCTGTCCTTCCAGAGGTCCGCAGTTCGATTCCCAGCAGACACATGGTGGCTCACAGACATTTACAGTGGGATCTGGGGCCCTTTTCTGGCATGCAGGTTTACATGCAGACAGAGCATTCATATACATTGCATAAGTAACTAAATTTTTTATAAAAGATTTCTCTGACCATTCCAAATCTAAAGTTCCACATGAACTTTAGGATTCTGTTCTTTATTTTGTGAAAAATAGTCATTGAAATTTTGAAAAGATGTCCTCAACCTGTAGACTGCTTTGGAAACTGCAGACACTTTATCTACATGCTAATTCTTCTGATGCTTGAACATGGGATAACCTTCCATTTATTCCTGCCTTCAAGTTCATTTCTTCCTTTTTTTTCTCTTTTGTTTTTTGAGGCAGAATCTTGCCGTGCAGTCAAGGCTGGCCTGGAAGTCATGATTCTCCTGCCTCAACCTTGGTGCTGGGATTACAGAACTTTTACCATGGCCAGCTTTTCTTCAATTTCTTTTATTAATGCTTTAAACTTTTCAATATTTATATTTATCTAGTTGTTTACTGCTTCTTCAAAAATTTTTAGAAAAAAACAGAAAAACAAAAACATACAAACAACAAACAAAAGCCAGTAAAGGTATCTGTAGCATTCCCCTTAGTGGTCTTAGTGGTATTTACAGAATGCTGCACCTAACAATGGCAGAAAACTCACACTTCTAGGGTATACCTAGAATGCTTCCAAACTAGAGCATAGGATGGGCCACAGAATAAATCTTATTCGAGTAACATGTACTCTAACAATAAGAGTTAACTATTGGTGGCTGCTGGTGGCCCACATCTTTAGTCCCAGCACTGGGGAAGCAGAGGCAGGCTAATCTCTGAGTCTACAGAATGAGTTCCAGGATTTCCAGGGCTACACAGAGAAACCCTGTCTTGAAAATAAAAGGGTTAACTTTTGAGTCACCACTACTAATAATATTTGGAAATTAAGCAAACAATTGATAAGTAAGTCTTAGGTCAAAAGAGAAATCTCAGTGAAAATCAACAGTTTTAATGACACTATCGTGAAAATTATATATATATATATTTGCAGAATGCTGCTAAAGAAGATCTTCAGAAATTTACATTTTGTGGTAGAAAGAGGGAAAACATAAAGTCGGCAGCATGAGTTTTTATTTTAGGGAATTAGAAAGGGGCTGGAGAGCTGGCTCAGCAGGAAAAGGTGCTTGCTGCCAAGCCTGACAACCGAGTTTGATTCCCAGGACCCACATGGTAGAAGGAGAAAACGGTTTCCTCTGACCTTCATGTGCATGTGTGTGCACATACATAAATAGAAAATGTGAAGAAAAAAAAATAAGGCCAAGAATGGTGGAATACACCTTTAATCCCAGTAATCAGGAAGCAGAGGCTGGAAGATCTTTGTGAGCCTGGTCAACATAGTGTGTTCCAGTGCAGCCAGTGTTACATAGTTACAAATATATATGTGAAAAAAGAAAAAATTTAAAGATAAATAAGTGAACCAATAAATAAAAAGAAGTTTGAAAAAAGAGTACCAAATTAAAATCAAAGTAAAGAGGAGATTTTTTTTAAAAAAAAAAAAAAAAAAAAAAAGCAAAATAAAAACTAGGATGTAAAATGTGAAGACTTTGAAAAGACCATAAAATTGACACTTAATTGGCCTGATGAGAGGAGGGGACAGGACAACCATATTACCAAGCATAAGAGAATCGTATAACTGTAAGTCCTACAGACGAAAAGGTGACATCCTAAGGTAGCATGTATGATACACTGGGGGTTAAAATATGGTAACACCAGTGCTGGTAAAAGAAACAAGATGAAACTGAAGACAGAGTTAAGTGGAAAGTTATTCTCTGTCCAGGCATCAGAAGAATTAATGTAGACCAAATGTCTGCAGTGGTTGTCAGAGGATGATCTTGGGAGTCAATTCTCTCCTTCCACCATCAAGTCCATGGAACTCAGGTTGCCAAGCTTCTGCGGCCAGTGCTTTTACCTGCTGGACCATCTTGCAGCCCTATTTTGTGTTTCATAATGGTCCTTTTCCTCCCACTGCATGTTTTACCTATTAGCATCAACACTGAGAACTTAGCGGCCACCAAAGATAGGAACATTCACATTCAGTCCACCCACCTCTTGTGTTGCAGGCAGGGTCCCCTCACAGGTGACACAATATCTCAGATGAACAGGATTCCCAGTGCCACAGGTGCGACAGATCACCTTCTCCTTGATAACAGGGAATTAGAAACAGAATGAGCAACAACGGGGTGAGGTGTCACAGCAGTCCTGTTAGGTCAGCCAAAGGTGTTACCACACCCAGTTCGGAATATTGGGAATAGTGCCAGACAAATGAACAGTTTTAAAAGAGACAAAACTGCAACAAGCGAGCAAGCAAACTGAAGATAGGATTCTTTAGTTTGAGGAAGACAATTTGAAATTTTAGGATGGTTAATTTCCCATCCCCAAGTGGGAAACCTGATAGCCAACAGTCTTTCTACTTCATGGCCTATCCCGTAAAGAGAAAGACTTGAGAGCAGGGGAAGCTCTGCATCCCGAGACTTTATGCAAACTATGAATTTAGGTTTGTTCTGTAGGTTATGACCTAGATAAAGTGGAAGAAGTGACTGTCGGAAGAAAATATTAATGCGATCAGAAAGCGGATGAGGCCAGGCATTGTGTGGCCCCGAGGAACCATGCATGAAGCTGGGAAGGTGAAGCTTAAGCTGCAAGGGAGATGCCAGGGTGTGACTAGTTCTAACTCTTCTCTTTCTACAAACTAGGAGCCACCATCAGAGTGAGCAAACAAAGACACGAAACCACTGTCATCGAACAATTCTAAGTCAATATTAATCACAATATTGAAGTCTGAATACTTAAAACGGTAAAAACACTGTCTAAGTTAGCTATATTGCATTTTGTCCTCAGAATTCATTCATGTTTCCACAGAATCACACTTCCCTACCTTCAAGTGGAGGCTGGCCTGGGGCCGCAGCTGTGGGGCAAGAGGAGCCTCGCACACCACACAGATGGGAGTGTTCATGGGTACCACACTTCCACATTCTGCACACAGGCCCATCTGTTCAGAGGGAAAGGACAGGTTTGATGCGGCAGGTAAAGGCTGACAGGACTTACTTAATAAGGTTGGATTTGCTTTTGTAAACTCTTAAAATAATTACCTTTCCTATTATTCAATTGCCATTAAGAGTTAAAAAAAACAAAAAAACTGTTTACTCTAGAATGAGAGCTATAAGCCAAAGGTGAGCCACAAACCGAAAACTCCTGGAAATGCCCACTTGCATGAGAGCACAGTGGTTCTTACAGGTTGCTCTCCTCTGCCCTGCTCTGGGCAGAGACTCCCCCAGGGCAGGGCAGGCTGGGAACAGTAGCAATTATTGCTGCAGTACAGGGCCTTCCTTATTTGGAACATTACTAAGATGACAATCTCAGTGGCAAACAAGGAGGACCAGTGGGTCATGGTAATCAACAGATAGTAGATATGCCCAAGGATCACTGTGTATTACTATTGGTTATTTTGCTTTTATTTTAACTGTTGAAAAAACATTGTGTGTGTGTTGGGCTAGGGCAGGTTGAAAGTGACATAGGTGTAGTAGTGATCATGTATGAAATTCTCAAAAAAAAAAATCAAAATGTGTGTGTGTTCATGTATGTGTGGGTGCACATGCATGTATAGGTTTGGGGGGGGAGTCAGAAGATAACCTCAGGTGTCATCATCAGGAATGCTGTCCATCTCCTTTGAGACTGGGTTTCTCAAGGGCCTGCAGCTTACCAATTGTGCTAGGCCTGCAGCCCCATGGCTGGCTAGTGAGCTGGGCATTGAGGACTGAACCTTTGTGCTTGCAAGTCAAGCAGCGCTTTACCGACTGAGACGTTCTCCCAGCACCGTGCCCGGGGTTGCAATGGGTAATCTAACTGTAATGTCTCAGTAAGTTCTCAGTGTGCCCAGGGAGCCACACATGTGTATTTGCGTGTGTAGATGAAAAAGAGCTCAATATAGGTAAAAGCTTCCAGGCGGTGGTGGCACACACATTTGATCACAGTACTCAGGAGGCAGAGGCAGGCAGATGTCTGTGAGTTCAAGGCCAGCATGTTCTACAGAATGAGATCCAGGACAGCTAGGGATACATACAGAAACCCTATCTCAAAAAAAAAATTAATTAAAAAAAAAAATAAAAGCTTAGGCTAACTTGAAAACAGTTTTAAGTTTTATATTCAGTCCGGCCCACACAAACACCTATCAGCAAAGCCAGTAAGCTTACAGTACATGAACAGTTTTGAGCCAACCTTGTCCCATTTAAACAGTAAGATTTCAGTCTGTCTTCTCCAAGGCCACTCAAAGTATTCCTGTTAGAAGCATGTTTCTACTCTCAGGAAGGATCTGGATAGCAAGGGATCAGTGAGCTCAAATTCTTTTAATGAGTGTTTGTGGCTCATGTGACAGGCCCTTGTCACAGCAGGTCACATAAAACTAGACATGAATGTTTTCAAATGTTTTGCAGCTTACCTGAGCCCCTTCCGGGGGTGGAAGACGATAGCCAAATATGGGTGGGACAGGAGCGCCACATTCTTGACAGAAGCGAGCAAAGGGATCAGATGGACGGGAAGCCAGACAGTGGGCACACCTACAACAAAACAGGGGTCCACTTATCCATAAGGGTCTACACTAACATTCTTACATATGTAATGGATGGGAGAGGGTGCATGAGCTCCTGTCCCTCTCCCACCCCCAAGGGACTACTGGCAGTAAATGGTTGTTGGAGGGGGCATTTTTATCAATGATATACTTATTGAACATGAGCATGAGCCCATGCTCATGCAAGCAATCCTAATTAAATTCAGATACACACATGTGCACATACACACGCACTCACACAACATGAAAGTTGGAGGGGAAATTCTTGAGAAGAAATGAGTGTGTGTGTGTGTGTGTGTGTGTATTTCTAAATACTTTCATTAGAATGCAGAAATTGTCTGACACATTTTTTAAGTAAGCCCTAACTATATTTTGCTTAAAAGAAATAAAATGTAAGTAGGGAACAAAAGTAAATTATAAGATATAATATGTCATAAAGATATTAGTTAAAAGAAGGCAGGGGTGGTTGCTTATTATTAGAGCAAGTGGATGTCTGAGCAGAGGAAGTCACCATGTTTAAAGAAGGCTATGTCACAGTGGCATAGGAGTAAACTCAGCAGCAGGATATAAACAGTTAAACATTAGTTTTAAGGAGACTTTTAAGACTCCATGGACTTTTACAGTTGGACAAGTTGCATTTTGCACTGAGATGGCCATAAGCTCTGGAGCCAGTGGCGAAATGTTATGATTTGAATCTGCAATGCCACTCACAGGCTCTGGTTTACAATGCTCAGGCTTTCGTGTACCATGTGAAGGCTGTGGAGCCTGGCTAGTGGAGCACTTTGCCAGAGAATGGGCTTTGAGGGTTCTACCCCTCCCTGGTTCAGCCCATGCAGTCTGCTTCTTGTTTGCTATGTTGTGAATAAGCTGAGAGGGTCATACCGTGTTTCCCAGGCTAACTTGGAACTTTCTATGTAGCCCAGGTTAGCACAGAACTTGTGATCTTCCTACCTCAACACCCTTAAGGCTGGCATTACAGGCATGTGACACATGTGAAAAACTATGAAGTTTTTCATAGATATGACAAACTGAGAATTAAATATAGTCAGATGGTGGTGGCACACACCTTTAAATTCAGCACTTGAGAGGCAGAGACAAGTGGATCTCTGTGAGTTCAAGGCCAGCCTGGCCTACTGATTGAGTTTCAGGACAGGCTCCAAAGCAATACAGAGAAATCCTATCTGGAAAAACCAAAAAAAAAAAAAAAAAAATTTTTTTTTAGGGTACCCTTACTTCAGCAAAGGATAAAGAGTAGGAGAGCCTTAGAATCTTTGAGGGGAAAATAAAAAGCTATAACATACAATATACTGTATCACACTATTTTACATGAATGACACAAGTATCCTGAATAAAAAAAAAATGAACATTGTTAAAAACAAGGTTTTATGTAATAAATTTATTTTCCATAAATCAAAAAAAGAAGAAAAAGAAGAGGAGGAAGGAACAACAACAACAACAATAATAATAACAACAACAACAACCACCACCACCACCAGACCATGGCTGGGCAGGGTAAGAAGGTCATATACATGTATCAATCACACTCTTCACAGATAAACAGTTTAGTGTATGCCAGTTAGCCCCCTTCTTCTTTTAAATTTTTTTTCTGTTTTATTTTTTGTGTATGGATGTTTTGCCAACAATACATGCCCATGATCTATCTCAACACATTTACTTTAACAACCAGGGATGGGCAAAACCTGTGTTATACTTCATTTTAAGTGTCCATGGTCCATGGATGATGTAACTTTGGTCTAAGACGGATAGAGAACATGTTACATACTTGAGGAAGTCAGTGTCCCTCTGGATCCGCGTGATCTCTGTGCTTGTCAGACTCCTCTGGCCAGTTATGTGTGCAAACCCCGGGGACTGAAATGAAAAAAACAGAGCTAGGAACACACATACAGGTGTATAACATAGTAAAGGCTATAGGGTAAGGAAAGTCCGTTCCAATTCATTTGCCAGCACTCATGTTTTAAAACTATCATGGGCGAAGGTGGGCGGGGTGGGGTCGGGGACACAAATGAGGCAGGTTGTAGCTGCCGCAGTTGCCATGAGCGCTTGCCCCCCATAAGAAAATGAAGGAGCACAGCGACTCCTTTAAGGGAAAGATGATAAGCTTTCTGCTGCAGCCTAGCCCGTTTTGTGGCTTGTGTCCAACCCTCTTGCCCTACGCCTGTGTGCCTGGAGTCAGCCCCACTGTGCTGGGACTGGGTTTCTTCCTTTAGTGCTCACAGGTCCCAGCACCGATGGCATCCCCTCCATCCCCTTTGCCCTGAGTCAGCAGCGGGTTCCTTTTTTGCTTCCTGCTCCTAAGGTAGCATCTTTCCCCCTGGACCACTCCTGGGGGTGAGGGGGTTGCCCATTCCCAGTGTTTTTTATTCCTGTGGGGCTCACTCCAAAGTATTAAAAGTGGCTTCGTAAAACAAAAACAAAACTATCATAGGGAAGCCTATTTTTGTTTTGTTTTGCTTTTTTGAAACAGGGTTTCTTTGTGTAACAGGGTGGCATACGCCTTTAAGCCTAGCACTCAAGAGGCAGAGGCAGACAGATCTCTTAGTTCCAGGACAGCCTGGTCTACAGAGCAAGTTCCAGGGCAGTCAGTGTTATACAAAGAGACCATGTCTTCAAAATCAAAAACTCCAAAAATTTGTGTGACTATTTACTTGGATATTATTATCTGCTTCAAGTCCCTACCAAAGGACAGCTCTATGAACGTGGCGTCTTTTCCCTTTGGACACAGTATTCCAGAGCTGGGACACTACCTGCAACATGGCCAAAGGCTGAAAGATGTTGTCCTAACTTATGCTGGGAAGCATTAAAATGCCTGAGGTATTTTGGCCGTCCTAAAGAATTTCTGCTGATGTTACCTGGGACTGGTGAGGAGCTATTCTAGAACCCGATCCTTCATGGTAGGCTGGGATTTCCAGTGGACTCTCCGAGAAGCGAAGGTCTTTCAGAGTTTTAGGGTCTGCTCTTTCGCCTACCTTGAGGTCTATAATTATATTAAAAATATTGTGTTGTGATTAGCATATAAAACCATGCAAATATGGCAAATATGCGCTACCCAGCAGCACTACTATAAAGTCACCTTCCCCAAGTCAGAGAATTAGAACTGAGACATAATCAGAAAATAACCTTCCTTGATACCCTCTACAACATTCTGCGTCAAGCTAAGAAAAGGGACCAGTCCAATTGCACAGTTAGCAGATAGCATCATTTCAACTAAAAAGAAAATCTGTGACAGCCTCTTCTTGCTTACTTACCCAGGAATCCAGAAACTTGGCTATCTAAAGTCATGTAACCAGAAGACCCAGTCACTTTGTTGTTTTTTAGAAAACAAATAAACAAAACCCCCAACAGCCTGAGTTTGGTCCTGGGGACTCATGTGTAACAAGACAACTGACTCCCAAAAGTTGTCCTCTGTGGCATACATACACCACACACAGCAACAACAACAATACTGAAAAGATGCTACCTACTAACTGTGCAATTGGACTGGTCTGTTTTCTTAGCTTGACAGGGAATGTTGTAAAGAGTATCAAGGAAGGTTATTTTCTTAGACTGGGTTAATTATTTCTTTCTCAGTTCCATTTCACTGACATGGGGGAGGGAGACCTTATAGTAGTTGCTGCTGGAAAAGAATGTGATGTAGTCCTTTACTGGAGGTTTCTAGCTAAGGACATGCTTGCACAGCAAATGCTTTTACCTGCTAAGCTATGTTGCTGGTCCCCAAGACATAAAATGGCAGGCTCATTTTCTAACTATGTGTTGAACACATCCTGCATGCACCTTTGTAGTTTCCATAGTAACCAAACCTGAATCCACATCTGATGCTGGCCCTTCTCATATAGCTCAGTTTTACTCAACTCTAGCAAAACTCTGCTTTTGTTTAAGATTTACCCAAATACTACCCAAACCTGATGACTCTTTCTTTCTTTGGTGAGGCACCCCCATGTTTCTTCAATAAATCATTCAATAAATCAAATTTATCAGACTGCTTGCTTATCTCTCATGGTCTCAATCTGTTAGCTAGAATAAAAATTCAATATGTAGCCTGCCTTCCCATTTTTCCTATTTCAATACAAGTACATGAGAAAGCATGCAGTGAGCATGCAGGACACCTGCTTAGAGGCTTCCTTCCACCTCACCGTACCTGCAAGCCGTCTAAGGTTAACGTTCCAAGTTGTTTTATTTTCAGCATTCTTGTACTTCTTCCTTAATTTTGGTCCAACAAACCCATTTTTTAATTCCTAGGAATGAAGAGATTGCAAGGCATTGATTATCTAGACTCAGAGTGTGAGAATTAGAAGTCACGGTAGACACAGTGTCATGGTGGACATGTCTTACTTGAAAGGGATTATAGCAGTTTTTATAAAGTGAAGTTGGTTTGCATTAGAAACCCACAGCTTTGTGTCTGGGCTACTTGGTGAGCAGCATGTCTGGCTGGTAGGCCTCACCAGGTCAAGTAGCTGAGATAGGAGCTATGGATAGTACCATTATCAGAGACAGCAATAGCATAAGAACAGAATCAGAGGGGGAAACGGTGGAGTCAGAGCAAAATCGATAGGCCTTGTGCACACTACCTGCTCAGACAGTCCTCCAAACCCTCTTCTCCTTGGCCTTTCTTTTATATGGACTCCATCCCTTCTCTCTGATTCAGACCTGAGTGTCTGATGGCTGACCCTGTGATGGTCACATTACAGACCCACTGATCTACTTACATCCACTCTGGTCCCACAACATGTGTCCTGGTCTCAGGGCTACCATCACAAACTTTCTCTGTCACCCTCAACACGTACCCCATGACTGAGATCTCTTGGTTGGGTGGCCACTCTCTGGCCCTCTTCCCTGGATCACTGGTGCTGACAACCCAGGGCTGAAGTTTCAAACATCCTTCTCAGGTCTGTCAGATTAACTCTCCAAAGAAGTGAAGAATTGCAGGTTTTGGTGGGTGAAGACTAACAGAAGTCAACACACACTGGAATGATCCACTAGCCTGACTATTTCATTCACCACATATACATACTCTTTGCTCTCCCCTGCCTGCCCCTAAACTCTGCTAAAAGTATGGCAGCCCTGCCTATTGCCATCTTAGAGCTTGTAAAAGGGAAAGGCTTGACAAGAAACCAAGAAATCACATGTTCAGGTCACTTTTCCCCAGCAAAGGCCTGGTGCAGGGACAGAGAAGAATGCAAACAGCTTGTTTATCTGGAGTTTATGCAGCATCACAAACAAAGCACAAGAAAGCTGATTCCCTGAGTGGCATGCTAATGCTAATGGCTTCATCACAGGTAGTCACTGCAGACAATGATGCACAGGCAGTGACAGCGCCCAGTCAGAATTCTGATCTTAGGCAGAGGAAGGCTTGCCCAAGGCTGGGAAATCAGTGAAGCTGATCCTGACCTTAGTCAGAAGGATCTGACTGTGAGTAGAGTGTTGTAATGAAGGGAGGGCGTGCCCACTGAGCAAGAAAGGATGAAACATTGAGTGATTATCTGTACATTCTTCAGTTTCATTACTTGCCTGCTTTGAAAAGCCTTTGAGGGCATCTTCAACACTCTCTTCAGGGGAGACCATCTTTGGTGGTTCATAGTCTACCTGGAACACCTTTGTTACAATCCCACTCTGTCTGCAGTCTCTGAAAAATCATTAAAAAAAAAAAAAAAAAAAGGAGAGAGTATATTATACAAATATTCAAGGCAAAGGTGGCTAGCAGTTAAGGTGATGCTAAAGTTACTTAATGTAGCCACTACATTTGTTATATTTTAAATGGGAAAAATTAAAATATACTTTCAGTTAAGCAGGACCTGAGAGGTGAGGATTAGGGGGTGAAGGTTGGTGGTGGCAGTCTTCAGCAGTGGCTCTGGTACTCTAGACCCTGCTCCATCCCAGTGCTGTTCACAGAGCCACAGGCCAGCATGTAACACCCCTTCCCACACTGCCTGCTTCCTTGCAGTAGCCTGAGCTCTCAGAATACTGGCCTCAGCCCACAGGAGCTCAAGTTCTCTGTAGATACTTGATTGAGTTGTTTCTTTTTTGTGTTAGGATATGGGTTGGTGCCTGGGGAGATGACCCAGTGGCTAAGGATATGGGTTGGCTACTACAACTGGAACCAAAGTAATGACTTAAAAAAATATATCAAAAAACAAAAACAAAACCAGAATCAACAAGTGTAAGAGCAATGCAAAGGTGGTATGGTGGTTTGAAAGAGAATGGTCACCAGCAAGTGGCATAGTTTGAAAGGATTAGGTGGTGTGGCGTGGTCTTGTTAGAGGAATGTGTCACTAGGGGTAGGCTTTGAGGGTTTAAAACCCCAAGCCAAGCACAGAATCTCTCTCTCTGCCTACGGATCAGGATGTAACCCTAAGCTACAGCTGCATCTGCCTGCAAGCCACCATGATGACAATAAACTAAACCTCTGAACTGTAAGCAAGCTCCCAATTGCTTTCTTTGCCTTGCTCATAATATCTCTTCACAGCAACAGAACCCTGACTAAGGCAGAACGTATAGAGTAGAGGTGTTGCAATGGTTAGTGCTGATTGTTTAATTTGATAGGATCTAAAATCACGTAAGAAACAAGCCTCTGGGTATGTCTATGTAAGATTTCCTATACTGGGTTAACAGAGGTGAGAAGATCGATCAGGGATGTGGGCTGGGGAAAAAAAGTGACCTTTGCTTTGCAACCCCACATCCTACCACCTGCCTGTGGATGCAAGGTGACCTGCTGTCACCATACCCTCAAACTGTGAGCCAAAATAAACCCTTCCTTCCTTCCTTGTGCTGCTTTTGCCAGCTGTTTTTAATCATAGCATTAAGAAAAGAACTTAATGCACATGTGGGGGGGGCAGCTTTCCATTTCATTGATCCATCATCCCTAGCATGCAACACTTGTTCTCTTGATCCAGCATGATTGACACCTGCATTCCAGACAGCGGGAAGCAGAATCTACCCTATTTCCCTTTAAAGGCAATCTGGACGTTTCACATGCCACTTCTGCATATATCCATGAGCCATAGCCTGGTGACATACCTGTACCAATCAAGGATGATTAGGAAGTACCCATCAGGCAACTGTATGCCTGGCTAAAAATCACAGGTGGCATTATCATAGAAGGGCAAAGCAGATTGTTCAGGGAAGGCAGAACCGCTGTCATGTCGGCATTACAGTGCTTGGAGTGTCACGAGATGTTTCAACTGCCACGCTGACTTACTTGCTGTGAGAGCTCACGCTGGAGCATAGCTTCCTGACAATTTTCTTGACATGACAGTGCCTCGTGGGTCACTCAAAGCTGGGATTCTGGCCCCTCTTCCTAGTACTCACCACTTCTGCCCTCCCATCACCTGCTTTCTAGTGCCCTTTGTTTGTCTTGCTCTTGTGATTTTTTTTTAGATTGATCTTGACATGTTTTACTTGCACTTCAATAATTGCTCAGATTCCTTTAAAAAAGAGGTTTTTACACTCTAGGTAAATAAATGTTCCCAAGGCTTAAAATTCTATATGTAAAATCATAGATATATAAATATCACTTTTAACACAGGTGAAAAATATCTAATACAGGGGGCTGGAGAGATGGCTCAGCACTAGCTGCTCTGACGGAGGTCCTGAGTTGAATTTCCAAAAGCCACAAGATGGCTCACAACCATCCATAATGAGATCTGGTGCCCTCTTCTGGCCTGCAAGCAGAAACACTGTATATATATCTTAAAAAAGTCTAACATGATATAGAGGTTTTAAGCTGCCTTTTGGAAGGTAGAAACATTCTCAGAAGTATGGAATTCATCTAAATAACCACCATCTGAGTGGCAGTGTTGGTGCTGACGTAACAACACGTTTCTATGCTTGGTGACGCTCTCCATGTTGGGTGACTGGAGAACCTCATGGACTAAAGTTTGGAGAAGCATTTAAAACATCATAAGGCCAAAGCTGCAGATTCCGCCTGGGTGACATAAGATGGTTTATCCATGCACTACTTCATTCCCCTCAGTTGTCCTATAAGCACACTTCTCTAAGGTTCCTGAAGGTGCCACTTTAGACCCCATGCTGAGGTCACCCTGGCCCTCGGCCACTTGTTCCACTCCTTCCAGGCCTAAGTTATCTCCCTATCAAAGATGGCAATGTCCTTGGATACCCAGCTAAGGCACTGCCCATTCGGCTTAAGCTGAATGGTAGGCAGAAGGGTTTCAACCCAAGAATAGCACCGCCCCAACCCCAAAAAGGTTTAGATTTGAGTTTAGAGTTATAAATCTTACTTAGAGCCTAAGATGCATTTAACACACACACACACACACACACACACACACTTCTATTAGGGCTGAGAATAGCGACCTTAAATATGCGTGTACCAACATAAATTATACCCAGCATAAAAGGAATCTCTGGGTACCTTTAGCTCTACAAATACTATCCTGTCAATGAAATACCAGAATAAAAGAGCTGGGTTGTAGCACAGTAAACAACATGTCTTCCTAGTATGTGCATGGCCCCAAGTCCAGCATCAGCATTGCAAAACAGTCCATTTTCTTAATGACTACAAGGAAATTACCAAGCTGGATTAATGGGAATTCACTGTTTTGTTTGGGCTGAGTTTTCTCAGCCTACTGAAAACTTTTGAAATTTGGGGATATATAATTCTTTCCCATGGGGGCTGTGCTAAAATGACAAGCTGCAACTCTACCCATTACCCACTAGACCAGTGGTTCTCACCTGTGGATCATGACCCCTTTGGGGGGGGGTCACATATCAGATATCCTGCATATCAGATGTTTACATTATAACTCATAAGAATAGCAAAACTACAGGCATGAAGTAGTGACAAAATAATTTTATGGTTGATGGTCACCACAACTTGAGGAACTGTATCAAAGGGGACAGCAATACAAAGGCTGAGAACCACTGTGATAGATGCTAATAGTAAGTAATACTCCTAGTGGCAACCAAAATGTTTCTTTGTTTTTGCAGACATGTGGTATATGTGCGTGTTCATGTGATGTGTGCATGTGTGGATATGGGTGTACATGCACGTGTATATGTGTGTGGAAGCCAGAGATGGGTGTCAGGTGTCTTCCCTCATCACTCTCCATTTCATTTATTTTGATGACCTTGTGTGCATAAATGCATATGACATAGGGGGTGAGGAGACAATGGGCCACAGCATGCATGAGGAGGTCAGAGGACAACTTTCAGAAGTCAGTTCTCTCCTTCTACTTTGTTCTGAGGAAGGTTGGTCCCTGTTATCTCTGACCTATGTATCTCACCCTGCTTGGCCTACAAGCTTCTGGCCAACTCCCCCCAGCTCTGCCTTCCATCTCACTGTAGGAGTACTGGGATTCAGATGTATCACATGGCATTCAGCTTTTTTTTTTTTTTTTTTTTTTTTCCAAGACAGTGTTTCTCTGTGCATCAGTCCTGGCTGTCCTGGAACTTGCTTTGTTGACCAGGCTGGCCTTGATGTCACAGAGATCTGCCTGCCTCTGCCTCCCAAGTGCTGGTGTGTGCTACCACCACCCAGCTGACATTCAGCTTTTGATTCTAGAGATTGAACTCAAATCATCATGCTTGTACCACAGGCGTCTATCCACTGAGCCATTGTCCCCAGCTCTCCAATTTTTCTTTCTATCATCTATCTGGGTGTTTGTTTGTTTGTTTTGAGACAAGGTTTCTCAATGGAATCTTGGCTGTCCTGGAACTCCCTCTATCACCTAAGCTGGCCCCAAACTTAGAGATCCAGCTGCCTCTGCCTCCCAAGTGAGGAGATTAAAGGTACAAGACACCAAGCATGGCCTCCACTCTGTTTTTTTTTTTTTTTTTTTTTTTTTTAAAGAAGAATCTCTTACAGAACCCAGGGTTATGACCAATGACCTCCAGAGGCCTGCCTATGTCTACTGCCACTACAGCTGGGGTTACAGACATATTTTATTCACCCCTAAGAGTTGAGTCAGCTCTGGAATTCTAGTAACCTCAGAAATGAGGACTAACAAATAAAGGAAAGTCAGAGAGCCACACAATTAAGGCCACACTGACTAAATGATTAAGTAGGATTAAAATCTTCAAATCTCTGTGGTGATAATCGTGTCAACTTAATTGGATTGAGACAGGCCTAAAGGATTAATTAGTAAGGCACACTCTAGGGATGTCTGTATGCTGTGTCTTAACTTAATTGGTGGATCATTCCCTTGATGAATTCATGATATGATGGCATTATTGGGAGACAGTGAAAGGCAGGAAGGCCCTCACCAGTAGCCTATCACCAGGAGGCATGTCCATAGAGACTGCATCTTGCCTTGGCCCCTTCCTGCATTTCTGTGTTTTTTTTTTTTTTTTTTTTTCCTTTCTGATGGCCATAATGTGATCTCTTTCCTACTACCCCCTTCCCATCTTGATTGGGTTGATACCTCTGAAATTGAGTCAAAGTACATCCTTTTTCAACTGTTCTCAGGTATTTTGGTCATAGTCACACAAAAGCAACTACTACAGTTTTCAAGTCCTGTGTTTTTTCTATATTACTCAGATATGTCGACCATGCCTTTGCTGCCTGTGCACATGGCATTCAGCTCTCTACACTGCATTGCCTCCTGAACAGGGTCTGTACACAACAAACCTGATCATTGCCTCCAGATATATGTATGTATGTATATACAATATTAGGATATATATATATATAAAATATGTTAGGCTATATATATGTACATGCGTATGTATATTTCAAGGAGCTACAGATGGGGGGCTGTGAGATATTCTGGTAATCTACTTATGTTTGCTTTATCAACCTTGGTTGCAAAACTGGGGGTCCTTTATGAGTCTACTGAATAAATAATTATTCTCAGAGGAATCTGAGCCCCTAAACACTTGCTCTGAATTGTGTAGCAAGTTCCTCTGAGATGAAACACACTAACTTGGAGGGAAGCCTTCTGATGTCCTAAAGGGAGTTGAAACATTCCATCCTGCAGGGCACCTGATACAACTCAGGAAGTAAAGGACTCAGTAGCTTCAGAAGTGTCTCAAATGAACTACATTTACTAGGTCCCTCCTTCTCGAGGCTTAAGGATTTCTCCAAGAAGCAAGGACATCTGGGAGATCCCCTCAGACAAGCTGAGCTGCCTAGAAGAGGCTCAGACTAGCCAAACAACCTGGAGAGGCAGATGTCAGCAGAGCTGCCTGGAAGACACATTCTCTGACACATCAAGCTGCCTGCAAGTTGGTTGTAAAGTGTGCTCCAGGGTTCCAACTTTCGTGGGCTGTCACCCATGCTTGGTGAGCTTTCAGTGATACAGCTGTCTTTGAGTCATTTCTGTTCTTGTAAGTAGCCTCTCCCACACATACACATTCATGTTCTTGTAAGTAAGCCAATAAAACCCATTGCTTTATCAAGTTGGGCTTTGGTGGCATTTTTACTTTGTTCTGTGTTTTGTTCCCCATCTGGGGTGAGTACATGCTTATTCACATCTACCTTGTCACAGAATACCATCCTTAGTTCCAGACCAGTTTTTGTTCCTGCTTGGCTTAATATATTGTGGTAGAGAAGGGAAAACTACACAATCACTGCCAACACATGACAAAATATGATGGAGAGACAGGATGCTGCTGACCACAAGGAGGCTTTTAAAGGAGCAGAGGGTAAGTAGACTGGGATTTGACTGTCGGTGTAGGCTACCAACCTTTGGCAACATCCTCTCCTTCCTGACATGTCCCCAAGTCCCCTTCTTATCCAGCTGTGTTCTTTCTATATATTCTGATATGAAATTCTCCCCTGATTCACACACACACAATAAATAAATAAATAAATGTAAAAAAAATTATCAATAAGAAAATAATCAAGAACACTCATGCTGGCACATGCCTTTAATCTCAGCACTTTTTGGAGGCAGAGGCATGGAGATCTCTGTGAGTTTGAGGCCAGCCTGGTCTACAAAACAATTTTCAGGACAGTTAGGACTGTTACAGAGAGAAACCCTGGCTTGAAAAACCAAAATCAATGAATAAATAAATAAAAATATTCTTAAGAAAGAAAAATGGGACTATGAAAAGAAAGATTTGGGAAGAACAAAGTGGCTAATGGCCTTCAAGTTGAATGGCAATAGCTTTGAACATCAATTAAGTCAATACAAAATGAAACAAAGAATGATATCACATCCCAGAGAATAAAAGAACTAAACAGCATTCTCCTCAGAGCCAGAGGAAACTCTTTAGAAAGCTCTTCCTCCCCAGACTCCAACGTGGAATTTGAAACAAAAATATTATTAATTGAGTTATATGATTTGTGGAATTTACACCTTAATAAAATGCAAATTATATATTATTATACATCATATATATTAAACATATATATTGAAATCAGCATAACTTTTTAATGTCCTTCTAAAACACATTGATTCTCCCAAGAAGAAATAAATAAAATTAGAATATAATGTAGCTGGGAATGGTGGCACATGCCTTTGATCCCAGCACTCAGAAAGCAGAGGCAGGTAGATCTCTGAGTTCAAGGCCAGCCTGGTCCAGAGAGAGAGAGAGAGAGAGATTTAGTTAGTTCCAGGACAGTCAGGGCTATATAGAGAAACAAGACAAAACAAACAAACAAATATGTATACAGTGATTCTACCATGCTTATTTGCCTACCATGCTCTTAACTTACTTAGAGACAGCAACAGCTTTAACTTGTATTTTTCCATCAGGCAAAGTAATAGGTTTTATATACTTAAATGTATTATTTTCACCAGAACCAGCTTTCTTTAAGAAATCAGGTTTGCTGCCATCCAGGGTGTAATATATGTTGACATCTGGGGTGTCTGAAAAATCAAGAACAGGACAACCTTAATTAACACTGAAATAACAAGTTCCTGTATTACCATAATCTGTTTTTTTTTAAATGAAATAAAATACACACATAACACAGTGACCAAAATTCTGTGGTCTGTACTAACATAATACTTTGCATGAATGAACTCACTTCATCTATTCATCAATATTACTGTATGAGGTAGGTCCCAATTTGTACCCATTTTTTAGATGGCAACTGAGTACCCGAGAGATAAATGAACTTGCTAAATAACAAAGGATTTCAGTGCTCACATAGTAACTCACAATTCTCTAACTCCAGTAGCAAGGTATTCAATGCCCTCTTCTGGTCTCAGTAGGTACTAGGCAGGCATGTGATACACAGGCAGACATGTAGGCAAAATACCCATATACAAAAAATAAAAATGAAAATATGCTTAAGAAAGAAAATGGGAGTAGGAAAAAGAAATAGAAGATGTAGGAAAGAGAAAGTGACTAATGACCTCCAAGTTGAGATGGCAGTGGCTTTGAACATCTTAATGTATGTAAAGTTTCTTGAGCCACATGCTTATGATATGTGGTTTACTTTGCAAGGCTGAGTACACAGCACATATTCTTGAACCACTGTGCTCCATCACTCTCTTCCCTCCTCCCAAAGGTCCTCCCCAACTTTCAAGTCTTTAAAGAGAAAATCTAGATTCTGCACATAAAAGAAAAGACTTGGTACTTTTCCTTCTTTCTTTGGCTTTTTTATTTGTTAATTTTGCAGCAATGAGGAATGAACCCAGGTCCTTGGTCATACTCATGAATTCTCTCCTGTTAAATCAAACTCTCTTTCTTTTTTCATTCCTCCTTCTCTCTCTATTTCAGTCTCTCTAGAAGGTCTCACTAAGTAGCACAGGTTGGTCTCAAATTCACAGTTCTCCTTGACATTTAAATATTAGAGAATATAGAAACCCTATCATCCATATCATCACATTTCAATAGTAATCCTACTTCTTCTAAGTGTCATAAGTATTAAATTATTAAACATGTTAAGCCTTTCAGATAAAAGCAGTCATAGTATAATAGTATATGTTATGGGAAATATTAAACAAGGAAGCCTGGAAGTAGCTCTACAAATGCAGATAAATACTTTTATACATTTAAGCCATCAAAATTAAATAGATATATATGTAATTAGAATCTAAAAGTCCTTTAATATAAATATTTGCTCATATGTCTTATCTATAAAACTTCTTTACATATATTATTTATATGCATTTATAAATAGCTTTAATAATAATTACTATTTAATATTAATTACTACTACTAATACCACGTTTCTATAATAGTCAACGTTTATTTATTTTTGTGTTTTTTTGAAACAGGATTTCTCTGTGTAGTCTTGGCTGTTTTGGAACTTGCTCTGTAGATCAGGCTGGCCTCAAACTCACAGAATTTCAACCACCTCTGCCTTCTGAGTGCTGAGATTAAAGGTGTGTGACACTGCTGCTGACACCACCCAGCTAAGATTATTTTTTTATAAGATAAATTTTGTGTAGCTCACATATACCAACTCACTATGCCTGGATATACAACAGTATAAAGCAACTCACTTAATCCTCATAGTGTCTCCAGGTGGTAGATATGATTGTCCCCATCTTGCCATGAGGACACTGACACTCAGAAAAACTAAGTAATGTGCCCAAGGTCATAGAAATTGTCAAACTGGAATTCAATCTATAACTCTTTGTACTGGAAAATCTATATCTCTAGGTAAATTTGTTATCCCAGAAAAGTAACAAGCATCCTGAGAAAGGTTAGGGACACAATTGAATATCTTACCTTGACTCATGTGAGTCAGGAGGGTGTTGCAACTAGCAACCCATTTTCATTGAAATATATATTATTCAAAATGGTGTGGTAATCTCAACATATGGTAGGCTGAGACAGGAGGATTACTGCAAATTCAAGTCCACCTGGGTTATATATTGAGTTCAAGATTGATTTGGGCTACATAATAAAATCTTGTTTCACAAAAAACAAATAAACATAAACCATCAAAGAGCAACACTTTTAATTTGTAGAAGACTTAGAAACTTCTAAAGCTCCAACATAGGAAACATACAAAGATATCAATTAGCAACACATAATACAGACCATGACAATGCTATTTTAATTATTTCAAAATACATGTGATCCCTACCAGATTTCATTTCCAAAAGAGTATTGGTGTCAATTTCATGGTTGGCTTTTCCAGGCTGGGGCACTCGCAGTGGTATGATCTGAGGGGCACACACTGAACCAGCCGTCATGTTTTCTCCTTATTCCAAAAAAAAAAAAAAAAAAAAAAAAAAAAAAATACAAATTAAGAATTCCATCACGAACCTACAGAGTGCCACTTTAAAAAAATGCAGCAAGCCAGCAAAACCTACAAAGAACATCATTAATATACCACCTACTGATAATGCTCCATTTAATAAATGAAATGATTATTAAATATCAGCTGTATGTCTGCTGTTGGGTAGTCACTGTGTTACATGCTTTATACCTAATAAAGGCACACAGGAAATCGACAGGAGTCAGGAGCCATTTTAAATGGGAAGATTAATTGAAGAGGCAGATCAGAATCCACACTAATATTCTGGCCTCGGTTCCTCCAAGATCATTCACTCGTCACTGCTTTCAGCCAGAGCACACATACACACTCACTCATCCGATTTCAAGGCAACTCATTACATAAAGGAAACAAGTAACTTGCATGTAACATGGATTATTTTACAGCCAGCTTTCAAAAGAAGGTATACGCCCTGCAGTCTTACCTTTGCTGTTGCAGTTGCAGTATGCTGCATATGAAAGCTGCAAAGACTGCAGAGCATGCGTTCTCAAGAGAAAGGAAGATGACATGGATATAAACCAATAAACACAAGATACCTATTCGCTCCACTGTTTTGTAAATAACATCCAAGATGGGTCTTCTCTTTGAGGTGGGGAGGAGTCATCGGAGCACAGCATTTGCACCTTGCATTGCTGTTTCAATTATGGCTACGTAACTATTCAATTATAATGTACATATTCATCCTATTTTTATAACCAACATTTTCACCCCCATTTTAATTTACAATTTATCATGTAATAATTTGTTGTCCAATGGTGAGGCTAGTTTTTTTTTTTTTTTTAATTTGGTATTTGGAATTCTGATAATGTTGCTCTGAACATCTTTGCATTTTGACATACCTTGTTCTGGGAAAATGGGATAATTAGATTTTAAAAAGATGAATTGCCATTTTGGGGGCCAAGAATAAAAACTACAGGTACTTCACCCTTCAGAAATGACGCTGGACGCGGAGGGATTTGTCTATGATCACATTTCCTTTCGAGAGAGAGTCAGTTAAAATAAAGATAGCCAGAAAAGTAGATGCTAAATAAACACAGATGGATAGAGACTAATTTGCTCACGGTTAGCTATTAGCTGATCTTGGAAGGCTGCGGTGGTCAATGGATCTCACGCGAAGGAGATGGCGATGGCTGATTCGCTAGGTCCAAAACCGCAGCCTGTCAGTGTCATGCCACCAGCATCTCCCAACATCCTTCACCTGGACCATCTCCTCACCGCCTAGACCTGGATCCACTGCGTCAAGCCCTCGGCCTCTCGAGGCAGTCAATGACGCCTGGATCCTTCCCAACCGAGCGACTGAGGCCCTCCTCCTCACCCTTCTCAAGGACACAGATAAGGACCCCCGACGCACCTTAGCCTCCGCCAACCGGGTGTCTAGTCTCTTACGCCTCACGACTGCACCTCGGCTGCGGCTTGGGTTACCAAAGACGCTGCGAGCCCCGCTCCGCCCACCGGGAGCCGAGCCGATGATTGGCAGGGAGATCGACTTCCTAGCAACCAGCCCCGCCCTTGTCTCTGGGCTGCGGATTCTGTCTGGTACCCGCCCCCAGCTGCGTCTGCGAGGCTTTGCTATAGGCATCCAAGGATATGCCTTCGCGGCGACTGTAAAGGCCTGAAAGGGTTCGCTCCTACTCAGCGTATGGGAGCCGGAGCTTTTAATCCGACAAGCACTGAAATTCGGTATAGCAGAAAGGCGACACGGCTGAGTAGAGCGGAGCAGGCACAGCACGGACACCCCAAGCCGACCTGACGAAGGCTCGGCGCGACCGGACGAAGAAGGCCCCTCTCCCGGTTCCCGGGACTTTCAGCGCGTTCCCCGGTGCGACACTTTCTCTAGTCTCGAAAACCGCCCTTATGGCTGAGGTGAAGGTGAAGGTGCAGCCACCGGACGCGGATCCGGTGGAAATAGAAAACAGGTAATGCAGTGAAGCTAGATTCACGACTCCGGGCGAGCAAGTCAGCTGGGCAGCCGGACCCCTTCTCTCGCAGGCCCGGGGAGTGGCCGGAGCAGCTGGATGAGCACGCGGGAGCCGAATTGCGGGGTTCTAGACGCCCCCCTCCGGACTAGCGAGAGCAGAGCTCTTTAGAAGCTGAAGTGCAGCGTTGACAGCTTGGAACCTTATGTAATTGGCTGCGCCAGGATTCTGTTAAGAGTAGTGAGGACACACTTGGAACCTGCCGATGGCCAATGCCTGAAAAGAGACCTGCATTTCCCCTCTATAGTCCTTGGGCATGTTTTAATTCATGTTCGATCTCAGGGTTGCTCGGCGGCCAAGGGAAGTCCCATCAGAAAACGTTCGGGCCAAATCAGGGTTCAGTTTGTGATTTCAAAGCATCATTGAGGCAAGTTCAGTGCCTTAAAGCTAATACTCCCTTACAGCGTACAGATATTTGAGGATTTTAACGTTGGTAAAAGACAGCAACTTTCTCCTCGGCTGTGGATAATACATTTATTACTCCTGAGAAGATATTTGAATTTATTTGGAAGGGATAATTTTGCTAACAGACTCAAGTTGTGAATCCCCATAACACATCCCCACCCCCGTATTCCATATTTCCCTTCCCTGACAGACCTAATGGCTTCACTTTGTTGTACGTATTCTCATTGATAGCATTGAGGTTTCAGCTTTAGTATCTAACTATAATGTATCTCCCTCATTTGCCTTTTGAAACAAGCAAACATAAATCGTTAATACCTTTATTCCTAGAATTATAGAATTGTGCCACCAGTTCCCTCATGGAATCACAGATCAAGTTATTCAAAATGAAATGCCTCACATTGAAGCCCAACAACGGGCAGTGGCCATCAATAGACTGTTGTCCATGGTAAGGTGAATTCAGTTAATTCATGTAATTTGTTGTATGTTAACGATTTTCATTGTTTCCTGTCACATAATTGTGATGGTTAACTTTATGTGTCAACTTGGCAGGGAGATGAGATTCCTAGGTATCAGGCTATATGCTGTTTCTGGAATGTTCTGGAATATGGTAGTATTTGAGTTGTTGAACTGTGACTGGCAGGTGAGTGGATACCATCCAGTCTAGTAGCAGCTTAGGTAGAACAAATAGATGAGGACCGAGGACTTTACTCCAGGCGTACACTGAGTTCTAGTACCAGTCTCCTGTTTTCACCACTCTTTGTTCTTAGGCTTTCAGATTCCATCTACACCATTGACACTCCATCTCTAAGGCTAATGCATCAGATCTATGCCATAGTTCTGTGCCACTGGCCTTCCTGAGTCTCTAGCTTGAAGGAGGTATATTATGAGTTCTCACCCACCGTAATCACATGAAGTAATAAGCATGATAAGCCTCTTTTGGGAACCAGTACACTAATTAAAAAGCCAAAATTTGTGACGAGTCAAAACCAGGGCAAGATTAGACTGTCTGAATTGAAAGAGAAAACAATTATGTGCCATTTGACAAGATGAAGAAATATGTACAATTCGGTTATAACTAATTATACTTTAACTTAATTGACACAAAAGCACAGGTGGTTATAGTCTGCTCTCACCTTCTTTTGCTTTCTGCTGCTAGCACTTAGCCATTCCCTGTAACATATTTCCACTGTGATTTTTCTGTGAGTTATCACATAGCCTATTCATTGGGTATCACAATGTCACTCAGAGCTTTTCAAGAGCAGGAAGAAGTACCCCTGAAGGTCTTTGGGAAGAAGTACAACCTCAGCTTCCAGAAACAGTGCAGTGGATTTTTTTTTTCAGTGAAGCCCAAGAACCTGAAGCCCTAAAACCTCTCCTCCTCCAACTTTTGAAAGTGCTGCCCCATGCTTTAAATCTGTGTATGTTGCTCTTCTTTCTCAAGCCATTGAATTCTCATTTTCTGAGGGCATTTTGGTTTTATTTTATCTGCAGTAGTTAAAAGAGTCCTTAAAACTTGCAGCCTGAGTTCTATCTAAAGCTCTAGTTAGGGAGATTTTAGGGATAGGTGAACCTTTTGTTAAGCCTTTGTCTTCACCTTTTTGGATCAGAATTTGGCATACTTTCTCTATGAACTGGTAAATAAAATATCCTCTGTGTCCCATCTGGTTTCTGTCACAACTATTTCTTGTCATTTTAACAAGAAGCAGCCACGAGCCTTGAACAGTGATATGCAGTCAGGTGGTCGTGGGTTTTTTTTTTTTTTTTTTTTTTTTTTTTTTTCTGATAAAATTTTATAAGTCAAAAAACAAGCAGTGGGCTAGTAAAGTTTTTTTTCACCCAAAGGGAAATAAGTGCTGGAGATTTCTGGACTTGCTTTTTGGTAGAATGACTCCTTGTTATCCTTTAGGACTCAGCTCTGCTGCTATCTGGGAAGTTACCTGGAGTCCACAGGTTGCTCCACAGTCATTTCTCTGAGTTTGTATCCACCCTTGTTTCTGTCTTAATGCTAACCGGATACTATTGAAGTCATCTGTGTGTTTCCTTTTTAGAATTTGTTTTGGCCTGGGAGTGTAGCTCAAGGGTACAACACTCACTTAGCTTGTATGATGTCCTGTGTTCATTCCTCAGTCTTATAATTATGTCAACAAATTGTCCCTTTAGCAGCAGGGGTCAATGGTACAGTATAGGTGTTTAGTGGGTGACTAAATAGACTGAATAAATGACAGAAGGAAACTTATGAATTGAGTTTTGTGGTCCCACTTTGCCATTTTTTGAATTGGGGAAGGAAGGAGGGTGTTGCAGTTTGTCCAGTGTGTAAACATATTTTATAGTCTTAACACGCAGTAGGGCCCCTTCTTGATTATCGTTTCCTATAACTGCTGCAAGTCCAGTGGTGCCCACATCTGGATTCTTCAAATGCTAGGGCCCAAGGAGGTTCAAAATCATGGTAGAACTTGCTTTATCTTACTTTGCTTCATTATATATAACATACCAACACATGAGGCCTTTCCTGCATTGGTTGACCTTTCTGCCTATTTCTCCTACCACAGAATTAAAATTGTATATCTTAGTAAATGTCACTGATAACTCCATAGTTTAACTTTAATGTGCTGTTGAATATTTATGTTTATACTTTATCTGGACTAAATTTTTATTAATATGAATTATTTTAATTATGTTTATTGATGCTTTATATAATTTACATTTATTTGAATTTTGATATGGATTTTTATATTATCCTAAAATAGCTTTTTAAAAAAAATTTATTTAGGCCTGTCAGTGGTGGCCAGTGCTTTTAATCCTATCTCTCTGGAGGCAAGGGCAGGCACATCTCTGTGGGTTCCAGGCCAGCCTGGTCTTCAAAGTTACACAAAGAAACCCTGTCTCAAAAGAAAAAAAAATTACTTTTATTTAACGTGTGAGTATTTTGCCTGCATGTATTGTCTGTGCACGGCATGCATGCCTGGTACTCGCAAAGGCCAGAAGAGGGCACTGGATGGCCTGAAACTGAGAACTGAATCCTAGTCCTCCCTAACAACAGGTCTTAACTACTGAGCCTCGGGTTAAGAGCACTTGCTGCTCTTACAGAGGACTTGAGTTTGATTCCCAGTACCCACATACATGATGGCTCACGCCTGGCTGTTCCAGGGATCCAATGTCCTTCTTTGGTCTCCATCAGCATTGTATACACATAATTCACAAACATACATGTTGACAAAATACCCATATACATTAAGAAATAAATTTTTTAAAAAGTTGTTTATGTTTTGGCCAAATAACCAAGCCAAGGTAGCATTTGAGACATTGTTAGTATCTCCTCTAGCTTGAAATATCTTGAGACAGTTAAATTTTTTAAAATACCTTGTTTGTGATATGTAGGCAAAATCCTTAGTCTCAGATGAAGAACTGACAAATGTGAGAGACAGCATAGTTTGGTCTGTATAATAAACACATTTAAAAGTATATTGACACTTACCTTTGGAGTTGATGTATTTCCAGAGTAATTGACTACAGTTTTCTATTTTGAATCACTTTAGGGTCAGTTGGATCTCTTAAGGAGTAATACAGGCCTTTTATATAGAATAAAGGATTCTCAAAATGCTGGGTAAGTAAGCACCTGTGGTTTTTTTGTTTGCTTTTCTTTGAGACAAGGTTTCTCTGTGTAACAGTCCTGGCTGTCCTAGAAGTCATTCTGTAGACCGGGCTGGCCTCAAACTCACAGAGATCCATCTGCCTCTGCTTCCTAAGTGCTGGGATTAAAGGCATGTGCCATCACTGCCCGAGCACCTGTTTTTTAATTTTAAGAAAATTTTGATTATATAAATGTAATATATGCATTAGAAAAAAGCTAACATAGTAACAGGTATTGTGGCACAGACCCAAATCCCAGCATTTGCATGGTGATATATTATTTATGATTTATTAAAGCTTGCCTGAGGATTCAGAAAAGCAAAATCAGCCTCAAACTATAGAGATCAGGCAGTGGTGATACACACTTTTAACTCCAGCAGTCAGAATCTGGGAGATGGTGGTACACATTTTTAATCCTAGGACTGAGGATTAAGAGGTAGATGGATCTCTGTGAGTCCAAGGCCACCCAGATCTACACAAGAGTGAATTAGTCTAAAAGAGAATTATAGCTTACACCTTTAATCCCAGGACCCATGAGATGTATATAAGACAGGAGCAAGGTATCTCAGAATCAGGCATTCATTCTCCAACCACTCTTGAGGAGAGGCAGCAGATCAGCCCAGTTCAGCCTGAAGTAGTGGTAACAGCTAGTGGCCTGCTACTTTGCTTTTCTGTTCTTCAGCCTAAAGTTTGACCCCAAATGCCTGTCTCTGGGTCTTTTATTTTCCGTGTTATATACTTGGAAAGTAGGCCATAAAATTTAGTGTCATCCTTAGCTACAGAAAGTTCAGGACCAGCCTGAGATATGTAACACAGTCTCAAATAAAAAAAGTGTGTGTATGATATATATATATTACTGTATGTGTATATGAGTGTTATATGTCTGTCTGTCTGTGTGTGCATAATGTAGCTAAGTGTGGTGGTGCACATCTATAATCCTGACACACTTGGGGGGCCAGAGGCAGAAGGATCATGAGGTGGAAAACAGTTTAGGCTATACATCAAAAGACCCTGCCTTGCAATAAGAAAACAAAACAAACTGATGTAAACTCATACCATCCCTGCTCTCTGTCCTATGTTTCCATTTCCCAGAGTAACTGTTCTTGGTAATTTCTTCTAGATTTAGATATTCATAGGTGATTACATTTTATATATTATCTTTTTTTTTTTCTTCTCTTTTAAAAAATAAAACAAAATGGATCATGCTATCCATGCTGCCCTGTAACTTGTTTTCATTTATTGTACCTTGGTTATCTTGTCATGTTGGTACACTAAGCTTTGTTTCATTCTTTTTAAGTTAAGCCCTTCTTTTGGTAAATAAGTCAGTGTGATAGCCTTGGCTGCTGGTTAACTTTAGTTATGCAGATGATAACAGCCTACATTTTTTTTCCTTTTTTAATTCTGCTTTATTCCCTGCAGTAAAATGAAGGGGTCTGATAACCAAGAAAAACTAGTCTACCAAATCATAGAGGATGCAGGGAATAAAGGTGAGCATGTGAAGGATGGTGCACTGTCTTTAGGTCTAGACCTAAAGTGTTTCTTTGTTCTGTTAATTTCATTTTATTTTTAAAGACAGGGTCCCACTATTTAGACCAGTCTTTCAGATTATCTTCTTACCTTGTCTTCCTGAGCAGTGGGATGGCAGGCATGCACATTGCTTGCAGCTGAGCATGTATGTTTTGTACATACTCTCTTTCTACATGTACAACTTTCTTTGTGGAAAGAAAACTCATATGACTTCCCATAGCTGGTATTTAGTGAGTATAAGAACCACAGCCTTATTTTTTTTTCTGTCTTATGAATAGAATGTTGCTTAAATAATAGTACGTGCATTGCAAATGATAAACTATTGTATGATTTTGTTGGTTGAAGATGGCAGATGACCCCAACCAAAATTAAGTTCCTCTTTTCACTTTTACAGTGTTAAGTGAAACTGTCAGAAAGTTGAGATTATGGTAAAGGATTGGATGAGAGATAGGATATAAGGTAATTTGACCCCATTCATATGTTTTTCTCTTACTACAAAGATGTTCTTACTATATATTCTTTAGAAGGTGCCCCACTAGGTGGTGTGGCACCCCTTTATCCTAGTACTTGGGAGGCAGAGGTAGGAGGATCTCCTGAGTTCATGTTCAGCCTGATTTGTGCAGCAAGTTCCAGGCCAGCCAGGGCTGCATAGTGAGGCCCTGTCAAAAAACAGAAACACACTGAGGTCCAAAGAAATTCCCAGTTATAATATAAAACACACCCGGTTACTGGCTCTTGTACTTTTGTTTTTATCCAATTTTGTTTTGTTTTGTTTTTGTCTTTAGGCTTTTAAAGTTTCTGACAATAGTTATAAAACTTATTGTTAAAAGATACGCTATTAGCTTTTCTACTTTCTTACAGGAATATGGAGCAGAGATATTCGATACAAAAGTAACTTGCCATTAACAGAAATCAACAAAATTCTCAAGAATTTGGAAAGTAAAAAGCTTATCAAAGCTGTGAAGTCTGTAGCAGTAAGTGGTTGGCTTCCTAGGTTTCCTCCCTTATATGCACTTAAACTGTTCCAGCTGTGTTTTCAGCCTTTCATTCTTTAATTCATGTTGGGATGTAAGACAAACGTTTTAAAAAGGACTAAAAATTTAGCTCCTGTTGTACTGACTTGAAGCTGTTGCTTATTGCACTCTTGATGTCTTGCCATCCCAAACTTCGTACTGTGTTCAATAAGAAAGTCTGGAGTCTTGAGTACATTTCCTAGTTTTCATGTTGTGTGAGATAACTCAATTTATCCTAGGCATTATCTTACTCAGCAAGTGTCTATTGATTGGGCTATGGCAGGTACTGCTTTGGGCTTAGACTACATAAATAACCAAGTCAGAGAAAGATCCCTGTCCTGTGTCTCTTACACCATGTTTGTGGTTTTCTTTTCTTTTTCTCTCTACCTGGAATATTCAGCAATAGCAAGATGACCAATCATGAAGACATGGAATTATCTTAATGCTTATTACTTGGTTTATGAAATCTTGCTGACAAGACAACAAACACACTTGTGACTCCAACTAGGTGACATTGTGAGAAAGTATAACTGTTAAGACAGTAAAAAGATAAACATTTGCCAGTCTTGGGAGTAGGGTCATAGGGAAAATTGAGTAGATGAAGCACAAGAGTGTTAAGTGTGTGTTGAAACCTATAGGCACAGCAGAGTAATCTTAATTGTACTATTTTATTTTGAGAGAGAGGTAATGTAACCAGTGCTGATAGTGAGTGAATGCAGGATCTTTTCTGCCTTAACCACCTGATTGCTGGGATTAATATGTGTATGCCACCATGCCCAGCTATCTGCATAGTTTTTTAACTTTTATTTTTGGTTGTGAGCCTAGCCTTTAACGGCTAAGCCATCCTTCTAGCCTATTTTTTTTTAACATTTATAAAAGTCACTTAGAAATTAGGGGAATACCAGAGTGGAATTTGGAATGTAGAACTAGAAACTAGGGGTTGGGTATGGCTCAGCAGTTAGAAGCACTGGCTGGCCTTCCAGAGGACCCAGGCTTGATTCCCAGCACCTACATGGTAGCTCACAACTGTCTGCAAACTGTAGTCTAGAGCATCTGACACCTAACAGGCATAGACATACACAAATGTGCACACACATTATTAAATTTTTTTTTAAAATTAAAAAGTAACTAATTGTGGCAGAATTTTGGAAATCATACTTCTAGGGGTTAGAGGAAAAGGGGCTAACCTAAGTACTTGTAGAAATGAATTGTGTCTATAAAACTAAAGACAAAGGAAAATGTGCTTATGTATCACACCCTATCTAAACTAGTGTTCTTTCCTTCCTGTGAGGCTCCTGATCCTACTGTGTATAGAGAACTATGGGCAGTGCTGGCTGCAGTATAGTTCTGACTGGGGTTAGAGGCACTGTCCACTCCCCCCACCGCCAAGATGGCCCTCACTTTAGATAACTGTCCCAAGTTCAGTAACTTAGCTGTCTTTACAGTAATTCTGCACATCTAGAAATACTCTAACCTTAGTTTTTAGGTTTAGTTTCTAAAAAAAGGTTATTTACAAATAATCTGTGTATATCTTTCCTAGGCCTCCAAAAAGAAGGTTTATATGCTCTATAACCTGCAGCCAGACCGATCTGTGACTGGTGGAGCATGGTACAGTGACCAGGACTTTGAATCTGAATTTGTTGAGGTGCTTAACCAACAGTGTTTCAAATTCCTACAAACCAAGGTGAGGGCATTAAGGAAACATCACAAGCCCTTTAAAATCTACTTCATGAAAAATTTACTCATGTATATCCTGTATTATAAGATTGAAAAAGCCTAAAATTGGAAATTTTTACTAAACAATCTGCTGCTGTTGGTGTAGCATATATGTTAACTTCAAAAAGCACTAGCATGCATTTTTGGTTGAGCCTCTTGTTCTAACCTTGCAGGCAGAAACAGCAAGAGAAAGTAAACAGAATCCCATGATTCAAAGAAACAGTTCATTTGCTTCATCACATGAAGTGTGGAAGTACATCTGTGAATTGGGCATCAGTAAGGTCAGAACTTACTTTCTGCACTGTCATATAAGGTATAGTCTTCCTCGCAAGGGTGTAGCTTACAATGTATCTGACCCAGTGCTGTCCTAAAGTAGGCAGAGGTCCTCATGGTGGTCTGACTCTGGCTGAACTATTTCTGAGCACAGTTCTGGCAGTGCCGTCACCACCCACAGTCAAATTGTTCTAATAAGTTTTTGATTGTGTGACAGTTAAGCTTGACATGACATTATTGTCATTTATTGATATTCTAAGTAGTATCATTAGCACCCTTTGAAGACCTGTATATCAGTACACTGATGGTTTCATGATCAGCAAAGAAGCCAAAGTGCCATTTGGACAAGTCATCTCTTCCTGGTTCCCAGATTTCTCACTGATAAAAAGATAGAAACTAGAATTATTCCATGGCTTAAATCCCATGGCTCAAATGTCTCTCTCTTTTAAAGACATTTCAAGAATCTCCATCAATTGGGAGGAAGAGGTAGGTGGACCTCTTGAGTTCCAGGACAGCCAGGACTACACAGAGAAACCTTTCTCATGAGAAAAAAGAAAAATCTCCATCAAATTCTTGGGGAGGAAGATTTCTTCTTTGTGGTTTTGGTTTTGGGTAGGCTCTTTGTTGTTGTGATTTTGTGTGATGCTAGGGATTGAACCCAGGGCTCATGCTAAGTAAATGTTCTGCCCCTGAGCAGTCTTCCCAGTCTTTTTAGTAGTTTTGTTGTATGTTGTGGTATCCCAACCTCTTGGGTTTTTGTTGGTTTTTTTTTTGTTTGTTTGTTTGTTTGTTTTTGTTTTTTAAGAATGAGGGCACCAGTCAGTGTGAGGTTCTGAATGAAGTTATACTTCTGTCCTTAGCATTTCATTGGTCGGTGCTAATGTAGACTGTTACTTACTTTCTTTGTGCCTTCCATTACTCTTCCCCAGGATATGGCTTCTATACTTCACTGAGCAACCACGACTCTGCTGTTTGTACTTCTCTGAAAGAATGCTTCCTTGTCCTTCATGCATTCTTTCTAACATTCCCCTCTCTAGGTAGAGTTGTCCATGGAGGACATTGAAACCATCCTGAACACACTCATTTATGATGGGAAAGTGGAGATGACGATCATTGCTGCAAAGGAAGGCACTGTTGGCAGTGTAGATGGACACATGAAACTGTACAGGGCAGTTAACCCAATCCTCCCACCTACAGGCTTAGTCCGGGCACCCTGTGGCCTCTGCCCCGTAAGTAAAAGCTCCTTCATTTTGTACTTTTATCACCACCATTTGCAAATGCCACATAAATAAACAGCAGGCACGCCATGCTTTCCAGCAGCAAGTGTCACTTGAGCTATTGGACCTGCCACAGACTCTTGATAGGCAGATTGTTAATAAACAGGTTTTATGTTATTTCTTAGAACATTCAGGGTAGGGACATGTTCTTCTGTTCTTGACCCTGAAATGGATACATTTTCATCGAGACTAACCATTTCTCCTCTGTAGTGAGGGAAATGAAATTTGTTAAAAAAGCTACCACGGGCCAAACTTATTCTAATCCTACTTTGTCCAAGGCACTAGTGGCATTATTTCCCCTAAAGAGTGAGGGAACTTCGGGCTAAGTGTAACTCAGTGGTAGAGCACATGCTTAGTATACATAGGGCCTTTCACCACAGATTTGAACCCTAGTACCCTCCCCCGAGAAGAAGAAACTAGACTTAAGCAGAAAATATCACTTCGAATAAATATAATGCTTTAGCATTTTCACTCATTCATTCCTAGGTCCTTCATTCCTAGGAAGTATGTAGCCACTGAGGCTACAGAGAGCAGAAGCGCTCCCTATGGCATTATATTCTTGGGCTGCTATTCTGACATATTCATTATGATAACCTTTGTCTGTACTCCTAAACTCTCCTAGACAAAAGCTGACATCCTGAATATGCTACTCAACACCCTTCAAAGATAGTTAAACACGAAACATCCTTCAATTTAGTACCAATCAAGTTGTTCAGAAGTATAGGACTCACTTCCTTCACTCCTATGCACCCGCTGATAGCCTTTTACCAGCAGACAGGTGAACGGGGCCTGTGTTAGTAGGCCACCAAGCTAGGCAGGATAGTGTACACCTTTAATCCCAGCATTTGTTAGGCAGAGTCAAGCAGAGCTTTGTGAGTTTCAGGCATGCCTGTTCTACATACTGAGTTCTAAGATAGCTGGGGTTATATAGTGAGACCCTGTCTCAAAAAGCAAACAAACAAAAACATGCTAAAAAACGAGAAGCTTATAGTTAACTGTGATCACAGAGTACGCACTGTTACATTATGCTCCTAAATACAGTCCTAATCCATTTTCAAGAGTGTTTTCTTTTTTCTTTTAGTACTGCTTTAAATCAATGGGGTTTTGGTATTTTAAAACTTCAATTTGAATGTGAACTTTTTTGTGTGTTTCTTTTTAAGGTTTTTGATGACTGCCATGAAGGTGGTGAAATTTCACCATCTAATTGTATTTACATGACAGAGTGGCTCGAATTTTAATAGAGAGCTAGGAATTTTACTTACATTTGGCAAATGAATTACTTGGAGAACAAATAATTCATGATAGAACATCCAGTTTCTTTGAAAACATACTTCACTATGATGGATACTAACTTGCTGCTATGAGAACATATTTATTTCCGAAGACAGAGCACAAAGCAGATAAAGTTTAATAACATTTAATAGGGAAGTCTCTTCTAAAGTAAGAAAATACCTGGAAGCTCTGGAAGACCAAGGAAAAAGAAGCCAGCAAACCTGACCAAGTACTGTGATAGCAGCTAGAGCGTGAAGATGACACGTAAAGTTCCTTCTTAATGTCTTCATTGAACTCATCGTATCAGGGTTATTATCACCATTTCTGCTTGTTCTTTCTTGGGTTTCGTTGAGAAGAAAATACAAGTGGTACAGGCAGGAACAGCTGACGATGGGAATGTATGCAGACTTGGGGCCTGAATGTAAAGTGGATATCCCTTTTCCACACTGTCCATTCCTCTTTAGAGGAGCTGCTGCCACACTGACTCAGTCCCAAATGCTTCTATCTAGGACATGGGTTCAGATCAGTGGTATTCCAACCTAAGGGGGATAATCTCACAAGTCCTTCATTGTTAAGGCTGTAAATCTCTCTGTATTGGCTTAATTGTACTATTTGCCAGAATTTTTTTCCAGATTCTTCCTTCATGCCTATAGTTTGACCCTCTCTGCCACCGGCATCAAATTCCAATTTGATCCCCATGTGGGATGTGATAAGTAGGACCTTTGGAAGGTGACAGATCATGAGTCCTCATGAGTGGAATTAGGGCCTGTGTAGAAGAGGCCTAAGGTGTTCTGTTGGCTCCATCATTCAATAGAACAGGTGAAAGAATAAGGAAGTGGGCCCTTGTTAGACAATAAATCAACTGGTACATTGAACTTCCCAGCGTTTAGAATCATGATAAACCATCAATCTATAGCAGCAATTCTAAGCCTGTGGGTTGCAACCCCTTTGGGTGTTGAACAACCCATTTAAGGGATCGTCTGAGACCTTCAGAAAACACAGATATTTACATTACAGTTCATAACAGTAACAAAAATCATTAAACACAGTAGCAACAAAAATAATTTTATGATTGGGGAGTCACCACAACATGAGGAACTGTATTAAAGTTGAAAATCACTGATCTATAGTGTTCTGTCAAAAAAGATAGAAGAGATAATTTTTAATACCTTAACTAAAACTAGCTGGGTGTGGTGGTATGCTCCTTTAATCCTAGCACTTGGGAGGCAGAGGTAGGTAGATCTTAGTTCAAGACCAGCCTGGTCTACATAGTGAGTTCTAGGACAGCCAAGACTATAGAGAAAGAGACCCTGTCTCAAAAAATAAAAGTAGACCATTGCCCTTCATTCTGAGTGGTGGGAATGTGTCTTTTAAAGTATTTTAGACTGGTCTCCTTTTTTCTTTTCTAAAAACCATGGTGTGGTGTGTCTAAGCTGAAAACAATCACTGTAGTTTGTTAGTCCCAGCCATTGGACACTGGAAAACACTAAGTTAATTGTTATGCTGTTTGTTACACAGAAGATAGCCATATGCCTTTTAAGGATCTCAGCAATTGATTCTCTCTTCCCCTCTCTCCCTCTCCCCCTTGACAAGGTTTTTCTGTGTGGCCCTGGCTATCCTGAAACTTTGTAGACCATGCTGGCCTTGAATTCAGACATCCGCCTGCCTCTGCCTCCTGAGTGCTGGGATTAAAGGCCTCTTTCACTACTCCTACTTTACTTTGCGTCTCAAAAGTTTCTTTATGCAAAACATGGGCCAACTGAAAGGGTTCACACAGCACCCTTTTGGGGGCTGAGTTCTACCACCATTTGGCAGTGTTCCAAGTGAACAGCATCATTAGAGTTACCTTGAGATAAATGGGACCAGTAAAATCCTGTTTGCTAGGTCGTTTTTGTCAGATGAATTCTATGGCCAGCTCTGACTCCAGCTCTTTTTAAGTGTTAGGTTATATATAAAATACAGGTTTCTCCTCTACCTCTATTGGGGGCTGACATGGTAAGAACAGTGTTCACTATTATTAAATAAGCACTAATCTTATTTTACTAGAAAACTACATATGTAGGAGAGTTACAAAAGGGAGAAAGAATTAAGAAAAAAATTTTTTGAAGATTTGTTTATTATGTATACAGTGTTCTGCCTGCATGCCATAAGAGGGCACCAGATCTCATTACAGATGGTTGCTGGGAATTGAACTCAGGACCTCTAGAAAAGCAACAAGTGCTCTTAATCTCTGAGCCATCTCTCTAGCACCACCCCCCCCCCATTTAAAATAAAAATGTATTCTTTTTGTTTTGTTTTGTTGGAGAAGAGTTTCACTCTAGCCCACACTAGGCTAGAGTTCACTTTATGGTCTAGGCTGGCCTTCAACTTATGGTGGTCCTGCTTTAGCCTCCCAAGTGCTGGGATTACAGGCTTTCTATTGTATTGAATATTAGATACAAAGTTTTGATTTACAGTCAGTGTTCTTGCCTCACCAGAATAAAGAGATACTTAAAAATTTTTCTTCTTTGTATTTTTTTTTACTGGATATATTTTGCTTGTAGCATATTATTTACTCTATTAACTGAGAGAGATAGATACATTTTAAAAATGTAGCAACTGTGCTATAAATAAAATGAATTTGCCTACAGAAATGAGCTATCCTCATGGGCCTCTAAAATCATAATGCCACAAAGTCAAACTGCAGATAAAGTTTGGTCTTTCCCTGTTAGTATTAGATGTTTTGCTTATCTAGTCTGTTGAGGACCCTGTTTAAAAGTGACCCATAAAAAATTAGACATGGTGGTGCATGCCTTTAATCTCAGCACTTGGGAGGCAGAGGCATGTTCAGGAAGTTTCTCACATGAAACTTCCAATTTGACAATGTTTTATATAAGGGTTTTGATGGTAATCAATTAAGCAAAGTAGTCAAGCAATTAAATACATGGTGAAACACATGCCTAGTATTAGGAGGCCTCTGGCACAGCAGAAAAGATGACAACTGGTTTCAGATTTACTATATGGCAGGTAAAGGATGAATACAAAATACGTGCCCTGTAGCAGTGTTGTCCAGTAAGATAGGATCTTGAACTCAACCCTGCTCTACCTCCCTCCTGCTGGGTTAGAGGTATGCACCATAACATCTGGCCAAGTAGCATTTTCTATCATGATGGGAATAGTTGGTATTTGGTGTTTAACACAGTAATCGCAAGCCAGCTGGCTGGCCAGCACTTGAAACTAAGGTTTGACTTTGTTGCCTTTGGATACTGCTTGTACTAGACGGCATAGCTCATCAGAGAACTTGCTTGTATGCTCTCCCTCAGGGATTACTGAATCCTACACAATTTATAATTAAGATTTTAAACGACTCATTTTTAAGTGTAGGAAAAAACACATTAATTTAAGAGAATTAATAGTTATATCTAATGTAAGCAGATTTTAGCAGTGATTGAACCAAATCTATAATCCAAGTTAGAGTTTAAAAAGTTATTAACTTACATAAATAACATTAGTTCACAACTTGTTTTCTGCCAAGGATAAAAATATATTCACTTGCTGGGTGGTGGTGGCACACACCTTTACTCCCTACATTCAGGAGGCAAGGCAGGAGGATCTTTGTGAGTTTGAAGTCAGCCTGGTCTACAGAGCTAGTTCTAGGACAGACAGGGGTGTTACACAGAGAAACCCTGTCTCAAAAAACGTGTGTGTGTGTGTGTGTGTGTGTGTGTGTGTGTATGCATTTGATAAATAACTTCCTGATATTATTCATTCCCATGTGAACACTTAACAGTAGCCCTATATGATTGTATCTCTCTCCTCCAAAGAAACCTATTGTTTTAAGAGTCTATACTAACTTACATTACACTTAGAAACCCCCAAATCATTTCACAACAGCTTTGTACTCCATCTAAGGATAAATGTGGAACATTACATTTCTGCAACAGTCACAGGTTCTGTGTCACCAAATTTAAGTACACTGGACATCTTTTGCATCACAACAGTGAGAAACAGAAAATCCTTTTTTATTTATTTATTTACTTTTTTTCATATGATCTAAGTACATTAGAAACATGAGTGAAAATGTGATTTTGTACATCAAATATATGCTAATATAAAAGTACCTTTATAAGAAGGGTTGATTTTGTGTGTGTGTGTGAGAGAGAAAGAGAGAGAGAATATAAGAAAAACTTGGAATGATGCTTGAATCTAGAAGAAGTTAAGAGGTTGAACTCTTTATAGAATTAAACTTCCATCATGGAAAAATTCTTTTTGAAGATACTTAAAACTTAACAGTACAAATTGCTCCCTTGTTTTCCACCCTTTAGCATTATCTTTTGGTAATCTTAGGCTTTCCTTTTTTTTTTTTTCTTCCTTTTTTGAGACAAGGTTTCTCTGTGTAGTCCTGGCTGTCCTAGAACGTGCTCTGTGGACCAGGCTGGCCTCAAGCTCATAGAGATCCATTTATCTCTGCCTCCCAAGTGCTGGGATTAAAGGTGTGCATTACTACTACCTGTACTTTGTAGGGAATCTAAAATGTTTATGATGGAACTCACAAATGGATGACCTGGTCTTTGTCTTGTAGCTTTTGCAAATCTTTTAATTATAGTGTTTCTATCTACCTCAACTCATGTAGGGATTGTATACACATACATATATATTCCCCAGCTTAAAAAAGGCATACATTTACTGTTAGTCTTACTGAAGTTAGTATACAGGTGGCAGGCTATGCAGATATCTGTCCCCTGTAGCTTCCTGACTCAGCATCCTTATATGTTGGTCTCTCAACCTGTCAGAAGGACCTGGAGACTGAGGTGGGGTCAGGGATTTCAATGATGAAGACCCAAGTTTGAGCTTACTATCTTGAGCCAGCTTGAAACAGCAGCTGGAGTTCTAAGAACATATGGAAACTTTAATCATGTTTTCTTCCAGTAAGAGAAAACTTATTTCAGATAGGAAAACGTGTCACTCATATATAAACCGGTTTCTTTTTTTTTTTTTTTTTTTTTTTTTTTTTTGAGACAGGGTTTCTCTGTGTAGCTTTGGAGGAGCCTGTCCTGGAACTAGCTCTGTAGACCAAGCTGGCCTTGAACTCACAGAGATGCACCTGCCTCTGCCTCCTGAGTGCTGAGACTAAAGGCATGCACCACCAACGTCCAGCTATTTTTGTTTGTTTTGTTTTTGAGATAGAGTTTTGCTAAATATTTAGCCTAGGTAGTCCTCAAATTCAAGATCCACCTTCTTCAGCTTTCCAAGTCCTGTGGTCTCAGGTCACACCTTGCAAGAGTTACTGAGTTATAATTTGGAATGAGATTCAAGATAGCAGCCAGGGTCTACTTGCTGTTTCTTTTCGGAGGCAGGGTCAGGCTAGCATTCACCTCCTGGTCCCTGCTTTCTCTGAAGTGCTGGAATTACAGGGATACAGCTCTATGCTGGTTCTACCGCTGGCTTACTCTCTGGATCAACAGGATGGCTAAACAAACTCGCTCTGTGTCCCCCATCAAACAGGAAAGTATTGCCATAGCTAGAGCTTTTCAAGAAGATTTAAGTTCTATGGGGACTGAAAATGTAGTGAATGTTTTTCAGGCACTTCTGCAGCTTAACTGGATATTTCATGTCTAGTACTGTGTGGTAATAGATACCACCCCATCCTGGCATGCTACAGAGCAGGAGTCATCCTGACTATTCTGGTACTTTCAGCATAGACTTCACCACACTAATCAGTTCATGAAATTCTGTGTTCTGAAAGTGACCACGGTTGGTGAATTTGTACAATTTGGCATTCAGCCCATCTGCCACTTCTGCTTGTTCCTTCCAGGGGAGGAAAGGGTCATCAGTGGAACCAAACTGTACAATGTGAGGGCAGTTGGCTTTAATCTTCTCCCACTGCCAGGGGCGGCTAAAGTACCCTGTAGAGAAAAAAAAATAGCCTATCGATATGCATCTGAAAATGTCTAGTGGGGACACTCAGAGGTGCATAAGGGTCTTGAGATCAGAATAGTTCTTTGGTTTTCCTGTCTGTAGAACTTGATACCATACTGACTTGCCAAGACAGTAAGAGGCTCAAATAAAACCAGATCCTGAGATTCATTGTAGACTTCAGGTTGGAAGAAAGTGCTGTCTTACCTCCAAAAGGTAGATGGAAATTCTCTCGTTTGCTATTAGATTTATATTTCTAGTGCTATCTGAGAATGACTACTTGAGCAGTCTGTCCTGTGTCCAGGGAAGAACTTTCCTGGGTATTCTCCCCAAAGACTTACCACTGGCACGCTCGTTTTCATCTCCCAAGTCCGATGTGTATGCAGACACCAATACAAGACCGTATACCTGATGTGTCTCTGCATACCTGTGATGAGAAAGATGGTGTCAGCAACACATGGTATTATTAACTCTGAAAAGCAATAGGCTATCTGATGTAAGTTCACAGGAAGGTAGTATATGCTACTGAGACAGATGGAAAACAGCAAGAAAATGTCTTGATCACTGATGTGTGCATTCATCCACCTTTAGTGTTCATCACATTACTTACTTGGTCAGCATTCTGATTCAGATTCCTGGCTCAACCCCAGAGCATGGAATTCAGAGAAATGGGATTAAGGCCCAGGAATCTACAATTTAAGAAAAACTGGCCAATGCCAGAAAAATACTTGTACTGCCCTCTGTACATGCATTCTCATTTGTGTCATAGTACAATTGTCCCCACTCCCAGACAAACTATCATTGGCTCCTTAAGGGAAGGAAAAGCCTTATTGCTCTCTGAACAGCACCCTATAAGTAGACCACCAACTCACTATTTGAAGATGCCCTCGCTGAGCCAAGAGCAGACTAAGGAAAGATGTGAGATCTCTGAAGAAGCTTTTATGCTAGGAAATGTTAGGGCAAGACTTTCATTCTTGAGAATAAACCTTTAACCCCCGCCTCCAAGCTGGTTACTCAAGAAATATCAAACCACAGAAGACATGAAAGGAAAAGAAGCATTCAGATTGATTAAGGCTGCACACTTACCTTAATATATGCCCCCTACAAATAACCTTAGTACCATTATTATACCCAATAAATTTAGCACTGCCTACATTCTTGATAAGGGAGTTTCGGTCAATTCCCTAAACTAAATTCATTTTCTCACAGTTAGACTGAGATTAAGCACTTTTGGCAAGAAAGCCTCCCCATCACTTCAGGGACACGATGAGTGTCCCACTATCAATGGTACTAAGTTAGATCACTTGTTAAGGTGTCCCCAGCACTTGTATTGAAAAGATTCAATATCCCTTAGTAATTAATAAGTCAGTGTGTTCCTTATGATTGCATGAGTTCCTGTTTCTTCATATCCTTATACTGACGATTTGGGCATCATTTTTCTTTGTCTCTCTTAACTTTAGAAGTCAATTCTTAGAAGGTTTCTGACAATCCTAATAATTTCAGAGAATTTATTTAAAAAATTACATCTTTACTCAATGGCTGGTAAACAAAAGGACAGTATCCTACAACTTTTGAGGTCAGTACTGTTCCCCTGCACACATGCTTATAAATAACCCTTTTTTAATGACTACCATAAGTCACTGATTCTGTGCTAAAACACATTATTATCCCATGGTGATATGTTATTTATGATTTATTAAAGCTTGCCTGAGGATTCAAAAGCAAAGTTAGCCACAAGCCATAAAAGTCAGGCAATGGTGACACACACCTTTAATCCCAGCAGCCATATTAGCAAGCCATAGAGTCAGGCAGTGGTGACACACACCTTTAATTCCAGGACTCAGGAGACGGGCAGATAGATCTCTGTGAGTTCAAGGCCACCCTGGCCTACACAAAAGTGAAGAGTAACAGCTCACACTTTTAATCCTAGCACTTGTGAAGTATATAAGATAGGAGCAAATATTCAGTTGGGCGATTTATTCTCCAGGCACACTGAGGAGAGGACAACCTTTTCAGCCTGAGGTAGAAGTAACAGTTAGTGGCTGGCTGCTTTGCTTTTCTGATTTTCAGCTTGAACCCCAATATCAGTCTCATGGGTCTTTTATTATTCATGTTACATATGATCACAGGCCTTTAATCCAGCACTAGGGAGGTGGAGGAGACAGGAGTGATATGACTGGATGGAGAGAAGAATATAAGGCAAGAGAAAACAGGAACTCAGAGCTTTTGCCTCTGAGGATTTGTGTCAACAGGGTAGCCATTTCAGCTTGGTAGAGGTAAGAGCTAGTGGCTTGGCTGCTTTGCTTCTCTGATCTTCAGCTTGAACCCCAGTATCTGTCTCTGGGTCTTTAATTTTTCTTGTTATAATCCTCATCCCCTTGACCTGTGTAGCTGAAAGGTTATAAAATTTGGCAAGATTCCATGACATACAATTCATATGATATTTTGAATAACTACTTGGAACAGCCTTTGTTACCACACTAGGAAATATGGAAGACTTGGCCAGCTAATTCCTTACCTCCTAGGCTAGTGGGGAAGATAGGAGATTTTGGTAGAAGCAAATGTGTATATATGTGAATCCCAAGGATCAGGGGGTTGTAGGGGAAAACAACCTCTATTCTCCAGGAGGTATTTATTGAACATCTACTATATCAGGCTCTCCCATAGGCACTGCGATTCCTTGTCAGTGAACTAAGTCCCACCTTCTTGGAGTTTCCATTCTGTTAATAGGGGTAGATAAGAAATCAATGTATGTTGGATGATAAAGCTTTATAGGTAATAAAATGTAAAGGAGATAGGGCGATACTGCTCTTTTATATGGAGTTATTAATGATCTCACCCAAAATGGGACATTCAAGCAGAGACATAGTAATAGAAAGCCAGGCAGCTTGTAAGATGGTGTCCCTGCTAGAAGGCTGAGCAGGATAAGGCAAGTGTGTACTTGGCATATTCCAGGAACTACAATGACGTCAGTAGGCTTGGTTGAGAGAAGAGGTGAAGGGAGACACAGCTGAGTAACAGGAAGCTTTTAAGCCATAGAAACTTTAAAAGGATCAGTGCACCTGGTATAAAAGCAATCTGTTTCTTTCAATCCCTTAACAAACAAGGAAGAAATTAGGGCAGATTATATTACCACTTTTGAGGTCAGCGTTGTGTCCTCTGCAATGGAAATTTAAGAAACAACTATTTCCCAAGCAGGTGTGGCTACAACCCACACCAGGGGCAACAATTCAACAGCATCATACCTCATGGCTGCAATGGCCCCGGAGCTGTGGCCTATGATGATGGTCTTCTCATCACACTGCAGCTCTGTCTCCATGAAGGGCAGCCAGATGCTCTCTCGGGCTGTAACTGTGTTCAGGGTAAACAGTCTGGTACTCAGAGGGGGCAGTCTGTAAGTGATGCTGGCCCACCTCTCTAATAAAAAGCAGCTCACTGCTTTTAAATTGAGGCCCAAATGGGAGATGAGGCTCTTTTAGTAGACCTCTTCATTGTGGTTTCAGTAGAGTTTTGCTCCTTCCACCATGTTTTTATATTAAAAAGGAAAGAAAGAATATATTACAACTGAAGTGAAAATTTCCCCTCCCCCGCCCCCCCTTTTTTTTTTTTTGGCGAAAGCCTATGTAGCAAAGGCTAATCTGTAATTTGTTGTGTAGCCCACATCAGAATTCCCTTGCCTCAGGCTCCCAACTATGGGCATTAAAGGCATGTACCACCATCACTGGCCTCAACTTTGAAATATTCATGTAAAAATTTAAACTTTGCAAACAAATACCCCCGAGCTGGAGCTACAGTTTAAGGGCAGAGTACTTGCCCAGGATGGGTGAGACCCCAGGTTTAGTCTCAGTACCAAGAAAAACAAAACACACACACACACACCACAAACTCTTGACAATATTAAACCCATGTATAATATATATTATTTCTTTCCTGAACCAAGACACACCCATAACAAAAGGGGAAATCTTATGTTTTTAAATACTTAGGAACTCAACTAGATTCTGTAAGGCTTTATCTGTTTTACCCAAATTTTGCCTGAAAAATGCCTGTAGACACTTAACAGGGAAAATAAAGTTGCTAGCTTACAAAGTTAAAAATTAAATTTTGCCATACTCAGGTGCTTTTCTTAATTCTTTACTGAAATCTTCTATATTTTTTGGTTTACATCTGCCTCCCAGAGCACCCGGCTTTACTTGTTGTTAGTATGTATTTATCTTTGTTCTTGCACTACAACACTCTTGCTTTCTAGCCCCTCACTCCCCACTCCCCTTATGATGAGCTCAAAATCTAACAGATAAGGCTTTTCAAAAACACGTTTAAAACTTACTTGGATCAGGCATATTTTTAGCCAAACACTGGAAACCAGCAATCTGAGATATAAAGAGGAAGAAAAAGCTATATAAAAAGTTTAATTGCAACTAAAACTTTGAAGAAAAAAAAATGTAACATTTGATATGATCTTGCTCAATTCAGTAAATATTTGCTGATATTATGAAATGAAATGGATTAAGTTGTGTTAAATATGAATATACACCTCATATATAGTTCTCTATCAGTTTTATAGAACATAGAGACCTGTGTCTACACTTGCAATCTATGTTTATTTCCAAGGCATCAACCTATACAGAAGGCATACGTGAATGTGCTGGAGACAGAATGACCTGAGCCAAACAGAAAGAAAGTAAAAAATAATAGAGAGACACCATAGAGAAAGTTGGTTATCCCATCCTACTGGCCATTTCCAGCTCAACCTTTGAGTTGGTAGCTTTGCCCATAGCTTTCAACCACAATCTTAAGTTTATTACAAACAGACTCTATTTTCTCTTGAAATTCTATTCTACAGGCCAAAGCAGGAAAATGTCTAACTGCTGGACTATGGAAGGGGGCTTTTTCTGTTCTTAAAAGTCAAGCAGCACAGGACGAGCTAGGGTGCAATGCTGTTTCTAGAAAGCTCACAAAGAAGCAAAATTACACAACATTACACAAGGTTAGACACATAGGTTATAAAAATACTTTAAGTTGTAAAAGGTGTTGCAAGGGGGTCAGAAAAGCAGCTCGGCTGGCAAAGGCACTTGCAGGGCAAGCCTGGTGACCTGAGTTCGATTACCAGACCCATGTAAAAGTTAGAAAGAGAACTGATTCCTCAGAAGTTGTCTTCTTACCTCCACGTGCACCTTCTGCATACAATAAACAGAAGCAAAATGAACTTCTGAGAGTCATAGGGATGGGACAGGAGAAGCTCAGGCAATGTTCCAGAGTTTAATCTGGGCTGAGAGTGTAGCTCAATGGTACAGGGCACACAAAGACACTTTAGGCTTGGATAGCACCGATTTCCCCTCGCCCCCCGGTTTGGTAGCTTATTACACGTTATATGCATCCCTTGTATATATTAAATGTCACATGGTGAGTTAAAAAAATTTAAAGCAATGAATATAAACATAAAATTATCTGGGAAGTTTCTAATTTGAACTCAAAGCAGCGTGTAGGGAGGGGGCGTTCTCTATAGTTGTCCAACAGGGTTCCTTTCTGTCTCAAAAACTGAGCCCTCGGCTTTTTTAGTGGCTTCGCCAGACATGATCCTGGCCACTAGTTTAGATCTAAGACTAGGCAGCATCATAATCGTCGAGGACCCAGACACCGGGTTCATCTGGAGGAGGGTAGACACAGGCTCGAGCCTAGCTGTCCATCCTCCCTCTGCTCCGCGCCAAGCAGGGAGGGGCTGAAATTCCTTACCTGCTCTAGCCCCTTTCTCACCCAGCCGTACCAGCCTTGGGTGGCTACATCCCCGCCTCCGTTCCCGGGAACAATCACTGCCTTGATAGGGAACGCCATGAACAGTCACAGGAGACCCCCCTAGCCTGCTCAGACCAAGAGCAATAAGGCCTAGATGGCTTCTGGCCCGGAGCCCGCACTGAAGCCTTCTGGGAATTGTAGTTCTTGAACACCCGCAAGTCTTCGACTTTTTCTGTCTGTATCACAGGCTGCCAAACACAAACCCTGTGAATTACCATCAAATTTAAATCCCTTTTCCAGCGTTCTCATACTCCATGTCCCTTTTGAAGCACTGTAAACAATATGCTCATAATGTTTTATCTTTTTATTAGACATACCAATAATTCTTTAAGGAAGGATTTTTCTCCCCAGTGAATTTTCATTAGTTTAAGACAGTCTCATTATGTAGCCCCTACTGGCCTGGGGCTCTCTATGTAGACCAGAATGGTCTAGAACTCATATAGATCTGCCTGCCTCTGCCTTTTTAGTGCTGGCATTGAAGGAAAGTATCAACATATTCAGCAAGAATTATCTTATTATTTATGTGTATGAGTGCCACATGCATGGGTGTGCCTAAGGACTTCAGAGGAGGGTGCTGGGTCCCCAGTGATGGAAGTAGCAAATGTGAGTGCTAAGAATCTAACTCCAGTATTCTGAAAGAGCAGAAAATGCACTTAATGACTGAGCCATCTCCCCAGTCCCATTTTTATTGTTTTCAATTATTGTGTATGCATACATGATGCATGCTTATTTGAACGTAGATGAGTGTGCGTGCAGAGGTCAGAGGACAACTTGAAGGAATCCTTTCTCTCATTCCATTAAGTGGGTTCTAGAAATTGAACTCAGGTTGTGCAAACCCATTGCTGCTAGCTTTCTTCACTCTTAAGACAGCCTAGGGCCCTGCCGGTGAAATGGTACTGCCCACATTCAGGGTGGGTCTTTCTAACTCAATTCACTAAATGAAGACCATCTCCCACAGACAGGACTGTGGGAACCTGATCTAGATGATTCCTCATCAAGACACTTCCCAGGTGATCCTGGGTTGTGGCTAGTTGACAATTAAAACTAGCCAGCACAGGGAGTTGTCAATGGAACCAGAGTAGAACACTTTGCAAAAGGAGTGAGGAGGCAGGCAAACCAGGGAAAGAATGCAGAACCAGTTGTCTGGAGTCTGTTCCTTGAGGCTTTTACTGAGGTGGGCATGAGAACTGCATTCTACCAAGAATAATGTGAGCCTTGGGTATGGAAAGTATGCTCAAATCTTCCCAGGCCACCTCAGGAACAAATAGCCACATTCCAGTGTGTGTGTGTGTGTGTGTGTGTGTGTGTGTGTGTGTGTGTGTGTGTGTGTGTAAACCAGAAGTATCTTCTATCATTTTTCACTTTGATTTTTGAGACAAGATCTATCTGTGAACTCAGACGTCACTGATTAGCAAGACTAGCTGTCCAGCAATCTCCGGGGATCTCTCTGACTTCTGCTCCCTAGATGTTGGGCATAGGCTGCATCTTCAGTGTCTCATGCTATGCACTGCAATGGAAGCTCCACTTTCACAGATTCATGCAACAGCCTTTCAGGGCTTCTTTGCATAACAACCTCTGAATACAACCCTCCCATACATTGTTAGTTTTAGCAGCTTCTTAGAACTTAGAGCAAGTTTCCATGTCCTCTCATTTCAATTATTTATTTTTAGATGGAGTCTCGAGTGCTGCTGTAAGGCCAGCTTTCAGCAGCTCAGGTACTGAAGGAGAAAAGTGGATATTCACACAATTCACTTTTTTATCTGAGAGAGTAAAACTTAATTCTCTGGGACTGGTGAATGGGGCAAAACTCAATTTTCTGGGGCCGGTGAAAAGGGGGAAACACACACACACACGATCACACGATGGGGGGTGTCCTTCTGTATGTTGTTAATATACGTTTCTCTTATTGGTTGATGAATAAATGCTGATTGGCCTGTAGCTAGGCAGGGAGTATAGGCAGGGCTACCAGACTAGGAGTGTGCTGGGAAGAGGAAGGCAGACAGTGACCAGAGAGACTCCATGTAACTGCCAAAGGAGTAATATGCCCTACCATTATGCATAAGGCACAGCCTTGTGGCAATACATAGTTTAATAGAAATGGGTTAATAATTAAGAGAAAGCTGGCCAATAAGAAGCCTGAGCCATTGGCCAAACAGTTTATAATTAATATAAGCCTCTATGTGTTTATTTGGGACTAAAGGGCAGCGTGATGGGGCTGTGGGACTGAGTTAGACAGAAATTCCATCATCACACACACACCTTCAACATGTGAGGCCTCTTTTATTTTTTCCCTTCCTTCTTCCTGATGCCTTCTTACATCTTTTACATCTTCCCTGGTGTTCTTCTAACTTTCCCTTTTGTCTTCCTCCAACTCTGTTTTTCCTCTTACAGGTTATATACCCCAGAAAAATCTCTCAAGTAATATATAAATTACATTGTGGTTACATTCTACTTAAATGAATGATTACAATGAATACAAGTTAAAAAAAAAAAAAGAAGCATGTTTCCCATATCCCTTACATGATTAAACATTTTATGTATTACAGGTGAAAAAGAAATTATTCCCAACGACTCGCATACACTCATGTCTATTCAGCTTGTTATAGATTAACAAAGTGTCAGCAGGCAAGGTATTTTTTTTCACCCAGTTCTTTTACTGGAAGGCTGCATTTTGCAGTTACAAAGAAAGGATCAATAATTTTATTATTTCTCAAAAGATAATCTTATTTAAAAAAAAAACTCTTAAAAGAATCACAAATCTTGCTGGGTGGTGGTGTCACATGCCTTTAATCCCAGCACTTGGGAGGCAGAGGAGGTGGATCTCTGTAAGTTCAAAACCAGCCTGATCTACAAGAACTAGTTCCAGGACAGCCTCCAAAGCCACAGAGAAACCCTGTCTCGAAAAAACAAATAAATAAAATAACAACAACAACAACAATAACAAAATTTAATTCTATTTTTATGTGTACATGTTTTCTATCAACAAGTTATAATTGCTGGTACAATGACTGTAGAGACCAGAAGAGGGTGTTCAATACCTGGAACTGGAGTTACAGATGGTTGTAAGCTATCACAAATCTGGACTCTTACATATGAAAAACAATCAGTCATTTCCACTTTAAATCCTCAGAGTGTATACGCACTCATGTGGTGATATATTGTTTAAAATGTATTAAAGTTTGCCGAGGATTCAGAAAGCGAAGTCAGCCCCAAGCTATAGAGATCAGGCAGTGGTAATACACACCTTTAACCCTAGCAGCCAGAAGCTAGGAGGTGATGGTACACAGAGGTAGATGGACCTCTGTGAGGCCAAGGCCACCCAGATCTATACAAGATTGATCCAGTCCTAAAGAGAAACACCTCACACAAAGATGATCTCAGCACCTGGGATCACACACCATTAATCCCAGCACTAGAGTGGTATAAAAGATAAGAGCAGGGTCTTCAGTATTCAGTATCAGGCATTCATTCTCCAGCCACAATTAGTACATTTCTCCAGCCATGCTGAGGAGAGGCTTCATTCAGTCTGAGGCTGAGTGAAAGTTAGTGCCCAGGTGTTTTGCTTTTCTGATCTTCAGCTTGAAGCTTGAACCCCTATATATGTACCTGGGTCTTTTATTTACCGTGATACACACTCATCAACAGTTTTTATTAAATCACATCAGGAAGCTGAAGGCAAAAATGGTTGTAAGAAATGAATCATTGTCTTTGATCACTAACCTATCCTAGCAAGAAAGGCAATCAGATAGTAATAACTGGGCTGCCTTTTTTTTTTTTTTTTTTTGTTCCCTTATCTCAACAAGTCCCTTGCTCAACTATCAAAATTGTGTTCTTTTAAACTTTAAACTGTCCAAGATTTTCTACATCAAAGCCATTAACAAAAACATTGTCACCTAACTTTATTAAACAATCTACATGTCTAAATTCTTTCTAAGGGTGGTGGTTGAACCATTAATCTGTTCCAGCAGTGTCTTACTTAGAGTTTCTATTGCTATAAAGAGACACCATGATCACAGCAACTCTTATAAAGAAAAACGTTTAATTGAGGTGGCAGCTTACAGTTCAAAGGTTCAGCCCATTATCATCATGACAGAGAGCATGGTAGTGGACATGTAGTGGACATGTTGCTGGAGATGTAGCTGAAAATCCTACATCTTGCAGTCAATAGGAAGTTGACTGAGACACTGGACAGTATTTTGAGCATATATGAGACCTTAAAGCCTGCCTCCACAATGACACATTTCCTCCAACAAGACCACACCCACTCCAACAAGGCCACACCTCCTAATAGTGCCACTCCCTATGAGATTATGGATGCCAATTACATTCAAACTACCACAAGCAGCAATGCTTGGAAGAAGTCAATCACTATTATTGTAAGTACCAGTAACATTGCCCAGTGTGAGGCTAGAAACCCCCTTAGAGTTTCCATACAACCCATAGATGATGAGAAATGTGGTGACTGTGAGGACAATAAATAGAGCTATGCTTAATAACAGCATAGCAGGACACATAGTCCTCAGGGCTCTGCCTCTCTAAGACTCATTTGACATGGTTTTGCTGACTTCCCAGTTGTGTCCTATGAGTTCCAAGGTTGCTTGCTGTTCCTCTCACATGTCCCCCACATCTGACAATTAGGTAGTCTTGGCTAGGTTGGAACTCATTATATAGCTCCGGCTGGTTTTGAACTCATAGAGATCCACTTACTTCTGCCTCTTGAGTGCTGAGATTAAAGACATGTGCCACCTTGCCTAGAAAATCCCTTTTACTCTTATATTTTGCATGCTGGCAATATCAACACCATGTGGACACTTAACACAAAGTCTTGCTTTCAATCTGAGATGTTGGCAGATCCTGATAGACCACAGATGCATGGCTTCTGCTTGCCTTGGAGGTCTGGGGAAACATTTCTCTTGGTGGTCCTTCCCCAGCAGGGAACCCCTGTAGAGGTGGAGGCACTCTCAGTTCAGGATTTCTCCTTTTAAATAACTTTGTACTTTTAGAAGCTCAAATTTTCAATGGGTGGGGTCTGAATCACAGGGCATATTCTTACTGCCCCAGTGTAAAATACTGGGTTTTGCATTAATAGTGCCAA